CTGTTAAGTTAGACAAAATTTTTGGACTTAAGGGAGCACATGGGGTGGAGTGGTGGGTCCCACATCAGGATCCCGTCCTCCGTATCACAAAACCCTTGCTCCACATGGCAGGGATTTAGGGTTGGAGTCCCGGCCGAAATATGCCTGGTGAGGTGATCCACTCTTAAATCTATTTTAACAACGAAATAATTCGTGTTGACCTCCGTTTCGGTGGAATTCCAATGCGGTTCAGGTTTAAGGTGATTATTAGTTCCAAAGAGTCCGTCTCGTAACATGATCATCTTTTGTCCATTGGGGCTGACTTTTCGAAGGCTCATCTTCAAACAATATTCAGGCGCGAGTTTGATGAACGGCATGTCGGCCTGTGACAGTTGGTCTTGAAACCACAAATCACGATGGATTTGCACGGCGTAAGTTCGCGAATAACAAAAATAGCCGACAAGTATTTTGTCGTCATCGGTGAAAAACGGCGTTGTCGTTAACGCCGTCGCATCACTGGAGACATTTGGATAGTGAGGACAATCAATCATCTTTGGTAATTGATATAACGTTCCCCCTGTTGAGCCCTCGCACCAACTCAACTCTTCATTGCGGCAATAAAGATGTGTGAATAAATTCTGGGAAGAGTCCATGTAATCCGTAGTTGTGCTGCAGGGATGGAGGGCTGCGCCGGCGGAGATTATATGAAGAAGGAAAAGATAAAATTTGATGTGCGTCAAAGTCATTTTCCTATGAGAATTCAAAAAAATAAGATTAACTCATTTAGTTTAATTGCATGGAAACCGAGTATTTTCTAATTAAAATTTCTATTTTTGGCATAATTGCTTTTTAGCGATTTTACCATAAATTATTCTTATAAATAATGTGTGATTTTTAAACTCTGTTTCACGCTGACTCTCATCACATTGAGTACTACGTTACCCGAGTGAGCCGTATTAGTATATTATTTGACACCAGTTTTATGTTGGCGTAAAAAATATGCGAAATTGAATATTTTAAAGGCCAAAATTAAAATTACTGGTGTCAAATAATAAAATAATTCGGCTCATTCGGGTAAATGTGACTCCACGTGATGAGATCAATCATCATGAAACGGAGTTTAACTAACTGAACGTTCAATTTATTTAATTTTCTTAGCTAGTTCAAATTCTTTGCGTTGCGAAAGGGAAAGAGCGTGTTTTGTGAAGGCGCTTTCAAAAAATAGGGAGAGGGTCCCCACAAAATCACAATTTAAGAATAATTTGCATTTCAGTCAAAAAATTTTCATTTCTCAAACATGAAAAAATCGGATTCGAAAACTCACGGGTTATTGTTACCAAATTTCTCATAATTATTGGATGAGATATCGAGATGAGTTACTTAGCTCTCTACTGAATAAAGAAGGTCTTAAAAGTAAAAATTAAGCTTACGAATTTGTTCTCGATGAGAGCCACTTGTCAGTCAAGAGGAGAGTTTTGACCTTCTCTTATTGTAACGTTTGATGGGTTTTCCTAAAAATGGGGACCTCAAGGGTGATTGAGATGGTGGCCTGCAATCAAAATTTCAATGTTATAATTCAATTTTATATTTTACAAGGAGAAACTAGACAAACTAAGCACTTGTTACTTAAAATGCATTGTTGGTGGCCGCTTAATATTTAGGCATTATTTCGTGCGTAGAAATTTTGAAGCTCCAAAATAATCATTTTGACGAATTTGAACTTTCAATTTATTTAATCTTGGATTTTTGTAGCTAATTTAAATTTTCGTTACGTGTTATACGGGCGTAACAGTGGGGAGGGGTTCCAAAAAATCAAGTTGCGTAATTTAATAATAATTTGCGTTTCAGTCAAAAATAACCTGAGAAAATCGGAAAACTCACGAGAGGAGTGTTTCGTTTTACGTATCAAAATTCTTGTAATTACTAGTAAATCTGTGAATAGATTTGCAAAAAAACACGTTGATAAATAACTTAAATGGCATTTTGCCCTATCATAACCCAGTCCAATTTTTGGAAAATTTTTGAGAAATTAAAATTTTGAAAATATACAAAATAAAATTAGAACTTACCCAAAATTTGGTAAAATATTTCCACGAAGTTGAACACCGAGTTGAATTTTCCTTAGAATTAGCGAAGTTGGCTGAATTACGTCGTCTGCAGGGCTATATTGTAGTTGTGTGGTGTGTTGTGTCTTCTTACAGGTTGGAGTTTGGAATACCAACCAAGCGACGCAAGTGGTGTTTTCATACGCGCTTCGGAAAGCGTGTGTATACACACGCTGAAAAATGAAAATTCCAGAGTCGTAACTTTGTAAACCTAAAAATTATCGATATTTAGGTGCATTAAAACCTTCATATTGTAAAAAACCCAAAGAGATGAATAAGTTTCAAAATCGCCATTTGAATATATGGAAGAAGGGAAAGATGAGACACAATAATTCAAATTAAAAACCCGCATACTGGGGCATACAATGCCACCTTAAAACCTCCTAAATACCAACCGTATTGTTTCAGTTTGCTTTCAGCACCAACCCAGAGCGATATCTTGGTTGCACACTTCCCACCTTTTTACGCCTTGAATTATATCTTCAGATCTTTTGCAACGACGGGGGATCACAACCCGAGATGGGTCAATGAAATTTTGTACAATATGATGGATACCAGAATCAGATTCTATCCTATTGAGTATAAAAAATATGTTGGTAAGGAATCGTCAATTATATACATATTTAGAAAATTAGTATTACGTATTAGTTATTCTTACAATTTGCAAGATCGTGGCGAAACAATGACACGAAGGTTTGTACTCATGGGGTCTGGTTGGCCAATTTTGGCCGAGTTTTTTGTCTGAACGAACAGAAATTTGAAACTCTGATTAGTGCAACCCTACATACATTCAGCAATATGAACAAATTTAACAAAAAGCCTGTCTTTTCCCGGAAAAACCCAACCTGTGGTTTTCCTATGTCATCGGTCTTTCTGGGGTTCTATTAGTATTTCTAAGGCATTCTGGTCGATTGAAAGCATCTTATCCAAATTTTAGATTAGACAAAAACTAATGATCCAAGTAAGGATGAGTATATGATTTGAACTTGTTCCTGAGGTCCAATCTTCATGTTTAACAGGGTTTAGTTGCTTAACCTCAAGTTATGAGTTCAAGGTCAACTTGCGTGACATTATTCAGAACTTAAAAGGAACCAGCAAAAATTAAATTAAACATATTACATAATTATTCCGAGATTTGGTCAGCAAAGAGCCCAAGCACCAAAAAAACGGGTGACGAACCTTCCTTTGACCTTTTGCCCATTTATAAGTGTTAATTTTTTATCAGGTTATATCTAGTAGGGTTAATACTATTTATTATATTTAGTATAAAAAATGAACACTTATACATCAATGGTCACAATTGAATTAGTATTACTAACTCACTTTTTTCAGACAATCGAAGTCACCAGCTTCCCGATACTGACATTTACTCAGCCATTGAAGAAGAAATCGTGACGTGTGGGAAATCAATCCAATTTGCCGATAGAACGGAACTGATGGCCCAATTGCAATACTATAAGAAAAATTATCACTGGATAAAATTTAATCAACTTAGCAAGTAAACTTCTGAATTAAATTATTGCTGAATTAAATACATATAAATTAAATACTATTTTTCTTCCTCACGGGAAAGCTTGAATTTAGCACTGTAATGCTGTCAAATGTGATTGACACTTTAAGTCAATTAACTTGTTCAGGCTCAGAAATAAGCAGACCCGTATTTTCTCGTTTTCCTGAGTGGCCCTTGCCTTTTAAGCCCTTAGCGAAATTTTCAAAGTAAATTTCACCCAAAACCAGGATTTATAAAAATGCTGTAACTTTTCGAATTTTAACCCGATTTAAAAAAATAAACCCAATTTATTTTCAGGATTACATCCCTGAAAATATAAAAATTCATTTTTAAAAAACTTTTAATTTTCAAAGAATTATCGTTTTTTTGGTTTCTAAAAACTCACCAATAGCATGAAAATATCAAATTTTTTAAATTTTTTAAAATGAATTTTTATATTTTCAGGGATGTAATTCTGAACACTAATTAGGTTTATTTTTTGAAATCGGGTTAAAATTAGAAAAGTTTCAGCATTTTTAAAAATTCTGATTTTGGCTGAAATTCATTTCGAAAATTCCCCCAAGGGCGTAAACATGCCCATCCAGGAAAACGCAAAAATACGGGTCCGCTTATTTCTAGGCCTGAACAATTTAAAATTAGTCCGGTCTCGATCGGTGATAACCACCTTACACCTCTCCATTGTTAGCAGAAAGCGGTATTGTGAGGATGAAGGAGGTTGTGATGTCCACACAATCGACAATTTCGGCTCCTTCGATTGATCCCATTTCCAATTTTAGCTTAACTACTGAAAACGGAAAGTTTTTTTAAGTAAAGATGCACGAATGAAAATAATTTAAATTAAATAATAACAAATTAGTAGTTCATAAACTTTAACCAATTTACCTTAAGTCAAGAAATTATAAGTACATAGTCCTTAAGCAACTGATTCTTTCCACTAAATAAATTAGACACACGGATTAATTTATGTATTTGTTTTGATTCTTTGTAAAGAAAGACAAAATGGGCGATAAATAGAGCCGTACATTACGAAGAGACTGGAACAATTTTGTGTTTTGCTGACTGCAGTAATATCACACCGGAAACGCGGCAACACTGTGTCAATTCGACACCGCGTTTCCAACCTTTCTCACCATTGCAGGAATATCGCTGTTACCCGTAGATGTCAAAGCATTTTTTTTCTCGGTGTCATTTCTGCACAACATTTTAACACCATTTAATGGAATTAAGGTTGACACCGACGGTTGCTACTAATGAAATTCTGGGGTTTGTTCCCAAGTTGCTAAGAGTGAATATTATGTTCCCATATGTGAAAATTGTATTGTGTTTGTGTTTGCGGAGTGTTTGTATTATTGGATTTGAAAATGATGGGATGGTGATGGAATGACCAAATAATGACGATGGTATAATAATATTTCTGGGCATCTGCCCAGCAAAAACTAGAAACTATTTTATATATTTTTGTATATGTAGAGTAATGTTCGAGATACAACTATTCTAACTATGTAACCGTGATCTGATACATATTTAGTGCGCTAACTATATCCCGTAAGGGGTTTAATGAACAATCAGAATTTGAAAATCTGTTTATGATCAGTTAATACATTTGTACTTAATGTTTAAATTATAAGAAATCTGCCTATTTATTTCCTATCCACATTTTCGTCTTCCATTCCTGCATAAATTTTACTCCCTCCGAGAGAAGGTGGTATTTGGTCACGTTCAAAATCCGTGCTTAAAGACTTCCTCAAAAGTTGCGTGTTCTTCCCGTAGACTTGAACGTTCCGCCGGATTTCTTCCGAGAATGCGGCCTTGCCAATGTTGGCGAACACGTTGAATGAGAGGGGAGCTGAATTAGAGCGGAGGAAAAAACCATAAGGACAAAACAATTAAGGGCTCAATCATAAAATTGAGGGCTAACCCTGATCTGTAAATTCTCAAAGAAATCTGGCAAGTTTGAATAAAAATCACACTCTTAGAAATGGGGTTACGATTATAACCAAAAAGTAAACGTATTCATATGACTCTACCCCCGTGGTCATAAATTTGTAACTAACTGGTTACAATTGGCTCCGACTAATTATGAAGTTTCACCGGCTTGATATCAAATTGAATTCACCACAGCTAATAAATTTATAACCACTCGATGACAAATTTATAACCACGGCGGTAGAGTTACATACATTTATTTTCTGGTTACAGTCGTAACCCCATTTCTAAGAGTGCATTGAGACAGACTCCGTAGAGAATTGGCAAAGTTACATATGTTATCTGGGAAATAACCATTTTGTTTCAAAAAATTCGTAGCATTTTTTTGTACCATCTGACATCATGATTTTGAATTTTAGTCCAATTTTTTCAAAACTATGGCAGATATTGTAAGCAAATTATTTCGAATATGGAGTACTCCTCCTAAAGTGAACTAATCATCGTTTTTGGGAATTTTTCCTTTTTTATTTACAACTTTGACTCGCCAAATAATGACAAATCTATTAAATCTATTACCGTTAGCAACGATGATTTTGTCGATACATTCAGGATAATTTTGGACGAAATTGATTATATTTTGCACGAACATTGTGACGCCTGGAAATTGGAAATATGTATTTATTTATTTAGCTCAATACAGGAGTCACTTGGTAACATACATGTTCACATTCATTCATTTAATCATGATTGAATAAATTATTCATTCAATATTCACATAAATTGAATGCATATTGAATGAATATTTTGTTCTGATTTTTTAATAAACGAGCATTGAATGAATACCTAGTCAATTCGTGTGTATGAATAATGAATGAATATTTTTTCATCATTCATTTTCTGCTCAATCCTTAATATATACATAGGCAAAGTGGGGAAATTCACAACATTTTGTGAATTTTGAATAAAATTAATAAGGAAGGCATGGTGAATAATCAATAAATATTGGATAAGGAATGAATATTTTTTTCAACGCTCTGAATGAATGAACTTTGAATGAATAAATATTGTTTGAACATGTATGTTCCTAATTTCGCAAATTGCAACTTACATGCGACACAGGAATTTTGCTGAATAATGAGTCCATCCAGGTTTACGAGGAGATGCCCACGCGTCACATTTTTATACTTTTCCGTGAAATCCAGTACCAACTTGCACCCTGATTCGAACGCGTGTTCATAGAAGCGGACCAACTTGTCATATTTGCCTTGTATGATTAACCTTCTGGCGTCGTGGTTTCTCGTTTCTAGTAACATGACTACGATAGATATTCCGTCAGTTTTAGGTAAATACACTCTTAAAAATAATGTTACCCTTTTAAAAAGTAAATAAATGCGCTCTGAATAAACCAACAATGGAGGTCTCCCAAGGCTTGCTCACAGATTTGAACCGAACTAGCGTCAATCGATCACGAATTTAATTAGTATGCAATTTGCGAATGGAATTATCTGCCAATGCGCAGGTTTGGCGGACATATTAGCACCAAAGCGGGAAAAATGCACAGCAAATTTGGAAATTGAAAAACTTGCCAGCCTTGGGGGTGCGTGTTCTCCTCTTTTATAATGCAAATACCTTTGCTAAACCAGCGCATTGGGAGATAGTTCCATTTGCAAACTTCATACTAATTAAATTTGTGATCGATTGATGCTAATTCGGTTCAAATCTGTGACCATACGTTGGGAGACCTCCATTGCTAGTAAACTATGCCAAAACTGGAGTAAACTTTACTCTTTATTGAGTTAACCTTACTCTGTATGAATTTACACTCTTAGAAATGGGGTTACGATTATAACCAAAAAGTAAACGTATGTTACTCTATCGCCGTGGTTACAAATTTGTCATCGAGTGGTTACAATTGTCACCGACTTATTATGAACTTTCATCGACTTGGTGTTTAATTGTCACCAGAGATAATAAATTTACAACCAGTTGGTGACAAATTTACAACCACGGCGGCAGAGTCACATACGTTCACTTTTTGGTTATAATCGTAACCCCCTTTCTAAGAATGTAGTATAGTTTAATTACTTTAATTACTTATTTATGACTCAAATTGCTATTATTATTAAAGGGTTAACATGATTTTTAAGAGGGTACATGCAATTTTTAAAGTACAGCGTGAATAATCTGGTATAAACATTACCGAAAAGCACAAGTATGTGACTCTAATATAGTGGTAATGATAAGTTGTGCCGTGTGGTAAAGGCTTGTTAATAAAGTTTTACCATCGTGGTAACGAATTTTTACCACCTGGTAAAACATTATTACCAAACTTATTACCGAGAAATCATTACCTGCGTGACTTTACTGGATTATTAAGAGTGTAGGAACAGCGACTGTTCTAGAAACTTACAAGGTCGCCCGAGTTTATCCCTCCCATCTAAGTAAAACCGTATGTCGTCATCCAAAGGTTCCGATTTCCGGTCTAACTCGTATTTTTCATCATCAATTCCACGGTCTTTTCTCCATTCCAAGTGCTGAAAGGTCACGTGTAAAATTTATTTTTGGCTTGATAAAGTCATTTTTTACCCACCCACCTGAAATAGTCTCTCCTCCGCTGCACCGATGTGGAAATTGCTGGCTGAAAAATTATCACAAAAATTGATCAAATAGATATTCAGGGGTGCACACTTAAAAATAATGTTCTCCTTTTGTACGCAGAGTTAATATAGTTTCAATCCTAAATTAATTTAGCGCACTCTGAATTCAATATTAGGCAAACTGGACTCAATCCAGACAAACAAACTCTTAAATATGTCAAAAATTTAAATTTTTGGGATTTTCTCGACATCTAAGAAAATATTAAAATTTAAAAAAAATAAAAAAAATAAATTTTATCAAAAGTTTCATTGAAATCGACAGTTGAACTCATTGTCATCATATCTTTAACAATTTTGAATATCCGTTCAGGATTTCAAAAGTTATGGCGGTTTAAAAATAAAAAAACATTCAAATTCGGCAAATGTGGCGCCACATCATTGCTCCAAATATGAGCTTTTCACGGAAATAAAATAAAGTTAATGCTTCATCAAGGGGCCTAGCAGATTCCAAAAAAACATAGTGGGTATCCTGGACACGACTATCACCTCGAAAGTATCCCTTGTAAGTTTTATTCTTTATGAAGTTAACGTTAATCTGGCCTTTATAAATACAGTACAGTTTATCTGATACTGAATTCAGAGTGCATTAACTTGTGAGAAGTGTTACATTATTTTTAAGAGTGTCCCCACAAGAGAGTGATGCTAGTGGAAATATTTGTTTACATAATTATGATGTCTTATAATTGGACAAACTTCTTACTTCGCAACCACTTGACGAGATATATTTCTGATTTCATGTAATCCTGCGGCATTTTGTCAACTACTTGAGCACGGAACTGGAAATTTTGTGAGGAGTGATTCCTGTAATCGTGTTTCAATTATTTTTATTTACACACTCCCGATAAGACCTTACCTTGTCCAAGAGAACCTTCTGATCCAGCGTGAGGGTCACATCCTTTTCAAAAGTTGAACCCGTAATGGTAGGTAGAATTGTGACGAAACAGAAAATTACGAATTTCTTAGGTGTCTTCTCAAGCATTGTAAAAATATTCCTGCGTAATAAATAGTTTTACAAGATTCACTAAAATCTCGTCAATAGAATTAGAACACGTTCTTAAGACTTTAATTATTTATACATGTGTTCTTTATTTTACTGATTATTTGTTAGGCATACACAGTGTGGTTTAAATGTAATGTTACAATGGAAATTTTTCAATGGGAAAAATTCGTAAATTTCCATTCGTTACAGATTTAGCATTGAGATTTGTATTACTTTTTATCGAAACTTATGAAACACTGGTGACAAAATCCTTAAAATACTGAACTTCAAAGGCAAACTTCTGGAACTAATGGAGGTTTTGCGAATTTTTCCCATTGAAAATTTTCCATTTTAACCTGACATTTAAACCATCCTGTATTGCTCGATTTTTTTTATAAGACAAATAAAATAGTGGGGACAATAAAAGAATACAGTACCAAACCTGACAGTAATATGTATTTATGCACAACCAAGTTAAGCTTTTAAGGTTAGGCTGTTTTTTTCCAAATGTGAACACGTGCCCAAGGACGAGTGTACACCTCACCAGAAGCCGTAAATACTCTATTAATTGCCTGGGCTAAAATTCAAAATTCACGGAACCGGCTACAATTAGAGACCCGGCTAAATTTTGCCCCGCCCAAAATTTTAAGTGTTGCAAGATCATGCTGGCTCAATTTGAGTTTTATTATTTAGAAAGATATGCCATCAGTAACCCGTTCACTTTAAATCAACATCTTTAGACGAAATTTAGCTGTTTTTTTTAAATTTTCTGTCATGATTATGCACATTATTAACTTGAAATTTATAGGTAAAAATTAGTAGGTAAACTTATTCGTTGATTGTGTAGCATAATGTGCAACATTTTTCTGGAATTGACTATGAACGGGGACATAGTTTACAAGACAGGCCATACGTAATTAGAGACCCGGTTAGGGCCAGGGTATTCCGACCCCGGGTTTTACTGGGTTGGGGTTTTGGGGTTTTACTGGGTTTTACTGGGTCGCAAATCAGTAAAACCCAGCGGGTTTTACTATGTTAAAGGGGTTTTACTCGGGTTTTACTGGGTTTTACTCGGGTTTTACTAAGTTTTATCTAAAATTCAAATAGATAAATGAATAGAACCAATTTGCAAGTACATATCTAACTCGAATTAAGTACTCTGATTAGTATTCTGCAAATTTCTATCTTTATTTCAAATTTGCCTTTAAGCTCCAGAAATCCCAACTTACAGCTTAACTTGGAGTTTGATCATATTCGTGTTTTTTGGGTGTTCCTGGCATTTTGCATTAAAGTTTTATGGTAAATCTTGAAAAAATTCATTAATTTAACAAATTTGTGTAACATTGCAATTTTTAACAATTCACCCCAAACATTGAGTAAAACCCAGTAAAACCCAGTAAAACCCTAAAACTCAGTAAAACCCAGTAAAACCCAGTAAAACCCTGGGGTAGTTGTTTTCGGAGTAAAACCCCGGGTTTTTCCGAACCCTGAATAGGGCTATAAATAAAGGTTTTACGGTAATTACAAAACCAGCCGAATGTAAACCTGGATACGAACTTGTGTACATAAATATATTTCCAAAACCGTGTGAAGTTTTAATCTAAATGGTACAATACATAAGTAAATACTTAATTGCATACCTTTTGTACTTTTATCAGAAAGTGGCGTGTAAATACTCTCTGGTTGGTCCCAGTAGAGTCAGCCAGCACTCAAAGTATGTATGCAACATGTAAATGGTACGCAGTATTTAAATGCGGCTTGGATTACTGAATTTTTGTACAATAATGCAAAATTGTGAGAAATTTTGACATTGTGAGAAATATTCCCATCGTATTTATTATCCTTACAACGAAATGTTTAATTGCATGAATAAATATGTGCGATAAGCAAGTATGTATACACTAAATAAACTAACTTGCTTTTCGAAAAGTAAAAATGTGTGCTGCTTTGTTTAAAGTAAATGCATCTCTGAATGAAGCAAATATGAGAACTTTAGATAAAGTACATGATTTTTGGTACTTTGTTTTAAGCATTTGCAAATGAATGCTTTATACCGAGTGTGTTATACTACAACTGAAGCATTACAACTTCATCCAAAGCTTAGTCGTCTTAATTTGCTTTGGATAGAGCAATGGAGCCGTATGCTCCCTCTGTTATCCGTGCCCCGCCACTACAGTCCCAATCCGTCTTTTCGCTAGGAAGGTTGGCCGTTGAATCTTTTCCTCTGCTTATTTTAATTTTCTAATTATTAAGTAATTAATAATTGAATTTACCTGCGCAATATATATACGAAATGGAGTACAGCGAGGTAACTCGAGCATTAGAGGAACTCGGCTTGGAGAAATATGTCAACGAATTTAAAAGTTAGCCCTTCAGCCATTACTTTTTGTACAATTTCGTCATGAGTTTTTATATAATAATTTCAATATCTTATTAATTAAAATTTTTTTATATTTATGCAGGAAATCATATAAATGACAAGGCCTTCGTTCTGCTAGTGAGAGAGGATTTGGTGGAAATCGTCCCGACTATTGGTCACCGACTTCAAATATTACGGGCAATTGATGTATTAAAAAGCGGTCAGGTATATTGTTGTTTCAAGTGTAGCTTAGGCTGTCGTAGTTTACAAGAATTGTTAGACCACTTGAAAGATAGTCACAATATGACAGGCGAAGGTATATATAACTGTGTACATTGTGAAAGTCTATTTACTAGGAAGGCATATATCAGGCATTTAAAAAATGTTTATAAGGTCCATAAAAACTTCTGGAAGTCAGTTACAACCATGGACTGTGATGTCACGAACACGATCGATCAAATAGATAGCTTAGATTCTATTAATCCAATAGACGTTCAAGATAATCCTATGCATAGCTTACAAGTTATTTTGTCTGAGATATTAGCCAGTATTTTGAAGTCAGGGAAAGTTCCAATGAGTACGTCGGATCATATCTTTGATAATATAAAGAAATTTACAAGCAAGTTATTATTAGTGGCTGGTAATTTAGTTACGAATATTGTAAGAGCAAGTAAGTCTGATGAGGAGAAAATATGTGAAGTTTCCCGTAATTTTTCAAATCTAATGACTATTTTTGGCCCTTTTCAATCACGGTACAAGTTGGACAAATTTCTAATTCAAAATGATTTTATGATTCCCACAAAGAGCATTATTTTAGATACGGACATTTCGTTTTTGCAAAATAAAATCTCACGAAAGCAGATTTATAAGCCAATTTCTATGCAATTCGTCCCAATGAGAAGTTCTATTCAGCAACTATTAAAAAAGCCAGGATTTTTTACGTCTCTAAACCGCAGTAATTCATACAACTCTGAGTATTTTTCAAGCTTCCGAGAAGGTGAACTTTCGCAAGTATTCGCCCAATTAAAAGAAATCATTTTTGTAAATCTATATTATGACGAGGCAGAAGTAGCAAATCCTTTAGGCTCCAAGGCAGGGAAACACAAATTGTCAAATTTTTATTTTTCAATTATTGACACACCTCGCCATTTGCAAAGTTCCACTGACAACATTATTCTTTTAGCCAGTATAAAAACCGAAGATTTCAAAACATCGGGTGCAAATACGGTTTTAAAGTGCATTGTGGATGAATTGAGGGAATTGTGGCTAGATGGAATTGACTTCAAATTGAATAATATAACAACTAATGTCAAAATTTGTTTAGCTCAAATTAGTGGCGATAATTTAGGGCTTCATGCGCTGTTAGGTTTTAGTGAAGGTTTTACAGCAAATTTTCCATGTCGCAGGTGTAAAATGCACAGATCAGAATGCCAAACCTCGGTTGTGGAAAATCTTAACAAATTTAGAAACATTTCAAATTATGAGAGTGATGTTAATTTGTGTGACCTTTCTAAAACTGGAATTAATTTCAATTCAATTTTCAATGAGTTACCCTATTTTCATGTAACAAAAAATTTAGTTTTCGACATTATGCACGATTTACTAGAAGGAGTGATCCCAGATTTTATGGTGCATTGTTTAAATCGCTGCATAACTAAAAAATACTTTTCATTGGACAAATTAAATTACAGATTGGAGAGTTTTGATTATGGTCTTCATTATCAGAACTCTAAGCCTTCTCAAATTAAGCTCAATCATTTGAAAACAGATATTAAAATAGGGCAAAATTACTCTCAAAGTTTGTGTTTGGCACTCTGCTTTGGGCTTTTAATTGGCGATATGATCCCAGAGGAAGATGAGATTTGGAGTGTTTACCTGCTACTTAATAATATTCTTATAATTTTATTGGCTGATAAAATTACTAAGGGTGGTATTATTTATTTGGAGTCAATTATTTCGGAGTATTGCTTTAAATATAAACAACTTTTTTCCAAGTCACTCAAACCCAAACATCATCATCTTCTCCATTATGGAAGGGTAATTGAGCAGATTGGTCCTCTAAAACAATTTTGGAGTATGACATTCGAGTCAAAACATAAATTTTTCAAAACCACAGCGCATGCAATAGGCAATTTTAAAAATGTCCCGAAATCTCTCTCTTACCGACATCAATTATCAAGGGCCTTCAATTTGCTATCTGTTAGAGAATTTGAACAGCACTCGTTTGAAGTTATTAACTACGATTTTGTCCCACTTTCCTCTAATAGTCATTATTCGTTACTTTGTGAGCGTTTTCATAAAACAATTGAGCAAGAAATAAAAATATCAAACTTAGTTGCTCATAATGGTTGCGAGTTTAGGATTGGTAGCGTTGTACTTTTAAAGTATTGTGATCTTAGCCCTGTCTTTGGGGAAATTCAACTAATTATTTTAGAAGATGACGATTGTAATTTTTTAGTTAAGATTATAAATAGTAGCATTGACTGTGCCAAATGCTGTTATAAGGTAGAGATTTCGGATTGCTTTCAAATTATTGATATTAATGATATAGAATATTATCAGCCGCTGTATTATATGTCGTCTTTTATTTTTAATGACATTAGTAAATATCTTGTTCTACCTATAAAATATCTTTAAAATGAGGCTACTTCTAATTACGTAGCAACATTCCATATCCCAAGCCGTGGACGACGAGAAATCAAATTTTAGTGCATCGTTATTGGACGAAAAGGAAATGGAAGATCGTGGATTACGTTGTGTCGAATTGTTTAGAAATTCTTCATTGCAGCTAACACCAAAACGAAAAGGAGTGCGTAAAAACCCGGTAAATTATAAGAATTAGGGCTCGACGAAGTCGATAATTAATATAGTAGTATATTGTCGTTATTCTATTATAGAGAATCTTGCAATTTACTCCAACTAAGACGGATTTGACGAGTACACAAACTCCACCAGAATTTCAAGATGGTCCCACCATTAATGAACAGAATTCACACGTTAATATTTCTGACGTAATTTCTCAACCAAGTTTTGTTTTTGAAACTCCACCATTTGCGCGTATTCCTGATAACGTTCAATATATACAGGTAGAATTTCATTTAATTTAGTTTTTGATGCAGGTATGTATAACCATTACTTTGTTCATACATAGGTAAACAACCAAAATTCGGACACGGGCAGAAACAACATCTATGGATTTGTAAGACTAAATTTTGGTGTACAGCAATACAGGCTAGATAATAATAATTATTTTTTGCTTATATCTTCATAGAATATCGAGGAGATTCTTCTTACGGATGAGAATGCTCGTCGTATCATCAACTCCAAAATTCCGGCGAATGACTTCATTCTCCGATCAGATCGGCAAGCTGTAGCGGGGGTTTTGATCAAAGAAATCATGCGATGTCTTGGCACATGGTACCGCATTAATAATACCAATAAATTTAGTTGCATGAAATTATGTCTAGGTTCATTATTCAACATTGTATTTTTCTAGTCCTAGCAAAAAGGCGATGGAACAGTTGGCCCGGCATTTGGTACAGCGATATCCGTGTTTTGGTGATCCACGACGCCCTGAAAACGGATGGGAAATGTGGTTTTTCCACACACATATGGCTCCTTCGGCCACTGGATTTCTCGAGGAAAGGCTCAAAAGTCAAAGGAAAAAAATGAACGCTAAAACGGCTCCAAATATAGATATCGATATTATATTTATGGAGCCATCTTTGTGTTGGGATTCTGATAATGAAGACGGTGAGTAGTTTTTAATTGGCTAAGTTTAATTTATCTAATATTATTTATTTATTTAATCTAGTTACTAACGGTGCATGTTTGACTCAACAGATAATCCGGAGCCAGATGAGGCTAAACTGGAATTTATGAAACAAAATGTTGGATCTGAAGTTATTAAAATGATGAAGGAAACTGCATTTCAAAGAAGAACCATAATCCGAAGACATTTTGATGCGTACCACAAACAGTTGGATATTTCAGCATTGGCGAAATTGGCTGAAATGATGAGACCATTGTTTGATACGGAAGGCATGGTAAGTATTTCTATAATATTGAAATTAGACAAATTTAAATTAATTATGTAGGTCAGATTTCTTATTTTTTACGTTTTTTATTATGACGATTTTCTTTTCTGCAGAAATCAACAAATGTAGCGGAGGTCATCAATTTGAATAAGAAAATGTCGCCGTTTATCTTAGCTCTGGGGTCTACGATTAACTTAGAATTTGAAGCGTTTTTTGTAATTTTACAGAAAATCGCCATTCCGTGTGGTGAAAAATTTATAAAGGCCTTAGATACATGTTTCAAACTTTTTACTGTTCTCTATATACCACTACCTTTGGAATCGTTAGATTTGTGGATGTTTATTGTTTATGGTGTGGGAGGTAAACCATTTTCCCGAGGTCAGATTCCGCCAGTTGTGCCGTCTTTAATTGGACAGATTCTTCCAAAAATTTAGACTTTATATTTCCATTTTTTTTAAATTTAACGTTATTAGTAATGTCAACAGTCCGAATTTAAATGAGTTTAGTACTGCAGTATTATAATTTTAAATACTCAAATATTTTATAATCGTTGTTATAGTTATTATTGATGATTAAGTGTAATTAATTAATAAATTACTCGTCAATCATAAACAATAATACGTACTTGATTTATGACCTTCATTTAAAGCATGGTGATCCTTTATAAAAAGTAAAATGCACTTGATCTGAAGCATATCATAAAGCTCAATCTAAAGTAAGCTCGTACCCCGAATTAAGCTTGCGCTCACTTCATCTGGAGAAGTAACTGTGCTTAATCCATAGCTTGCTTAATTACTTCAGTCAGAGCAAAACTGGTTGCTTTTATAAAGTAAAGCTCGAATTTACTTGATATGGGGAAGGGCACTTTTTACTCCACCAGAAGTCGTTTTTTACTTTAGACGAAGCGATTTGTTTTTAGTGTGTATGCCGTTGATATATTATTATTGACATGGAATGTTATCCGATCCGCCGTCTTCCATCCTTTGGCTACGTATTGAGCTTCCTCTTACTTTATCATTCCATACCGTCTCTGCTATATTTTAAATTTATCAAAATTGTATATGAATTGAATACATAGTTTCTATTATTTACAGATGATCAGATTTTGAGCAGCTTGTCAAAATTTCCAAGAAAACCTGGAAAAATTGACTCATAATGTGTTTATTTAATAAACACACAATAAACTTTATTCCAACATATTTCTGATTTACTTTTACACATATGTTACTCCTTATTTATTTATTTTTTTTGCATATCATGTCGCTTAAGATGTCTGACTTGTGTAGATATTTCTCAGTGAAATCTTCACGTCCTAAAGTTTTACGTATTACATACACACTAAACAAAGTTGTAGAAAATTTGTACAAGGTTGTGCAAAATATTGTCCAAAAGTTGGGTAAAAAAGAGGATGACACAACCGGTGGTTAAACCTTACTCAATCTGGTTGAGTAATCCCTTTTGTACAGGGTGGTTTAAATGTCTGGTTACAATGGAAAATTTTTCAATGGGACAAATTCGCAAATCTCCATTAGTTACCGAAATTTTGCCTCTAAAATTCTATATTTTAAGAATTTTGTCATCAGTGTTCCATAAGTTTTGATAAAAAATAATAAAAATCTCAATCCCAAATCCGTAACTAATGGAAATTTACGTGTTTTTCCCATTGAAAAATTTTCCATTGTAACCTGACATTTAAACCACCCTGTACAACTATTGAGTGAAATTTGATCAGCAAGTTGTACGATTTTTACTCAACCCGATAATCAAAATTCGCGCAACTAGCAACTAAAACCTGATAAAGTGAGTGATTAAATTTTACTCTTCGGTTGATCAAAGTTTGTCTTTTATTCTGATCAAAATACGGTTTCTTATTTACTAAAACGTATTTGTATTTATTATTTAGTCTTTAATTTCTTATAAATTATAATAATTTTGAAATTCTTCGACTCACCGAGATGAAAAAATTTCAAAATCACCATTTGGTTACATTGAAGGGAAACGTATGTATGGCACAAAAACCCGCATAAAATGGGACGTTAAAAAATATCTCGTGTTCTAAACTTTTTCTGCTGGAAGTGGTAAAATTGGCACTAATAAAAATATGTAGACTAATAAAACTTCTACCTTATAAATAGAGGGTTTTAGAGCGTGTCGGAATGAATTATGAGGCCTTAACTTCGCTTGGGACGCGGAACAAGTTGGATAAAATGATGATGTATGCACATAGTGTTAGAGTATTTAGGTTAGTTATTTTCCATACACTCTTAGCAAAATGGTATTGAATTTAACTGAATCATCACCAAACGGAGTGCATATATGACTTAACCAAATTGTGATAATATTTACCCCACGTTGTGATAAATCTTCCCCACAATGCGTTAAATCCTCATTATCTAGTGTTAAGTTTACACATTGTGGGGCAGATTTATCACAATGTGGGGTAAATATTATCACAATTTGGTTAAGTCATACAGTCTGCGTCATATCTTTATCAAATGTCGTTTTTTCGGCGTAATTTTTCTATCGACGCTCTAAATGTGGTGAAATTTTGTACAAATGTTGACACTACCATTCTCTAGTATGTATGAAAGTATGGCTATGTAAAAAAAATTCAGAAGATTTTTATGCAAAAAAATCTGAAAAAGTGGTGGTGCAAAACTTTATCAAATTTTAGAGTTTTCAACAATTTTGGCAAATTTTATTGTCTTTTACTAGATTATATCAATCAATTTATATCTCTCAGTACTTAGTGGACCCTCCTGCCTCGGAAATGACTTGGAATATTCGATTTGGCATTGAATCGACTAGTTTTTGTAGAGTAGCTTTCTCCACTTTCACCCAAGCCGTTGAAATTGCTGTTTTCAGTTGATTAACGTTGTCGTACTGCTTCCCATTTTTGTAAACTTCACGCACCAAGATCCCCCAAAAGTTCTCGATTGGATTCAGGTCCGGGCTTTTGCTTGGCCAATCCAATACACGAATTTTCTTTTGGAGAAAGTAGTCCTTCGTGAACCTTGAAGAATGAATACTGGCGTTGTCCTGCTGGAAAATCCATTTACGACCGCCCATTTTTGCTCCAAACTTCAGGAGATGTTCCTGCAACATTTTAGTGTATCCTGTAGAGTCCATAGTCCCTTTAATGAAAGCCACGTTACTTCGACCCTTTGATCCAAATGCCGCCCATATCATGACGGATCCACCACCGCTTTGCCGTTTGGAGAAAACAATTTTTTCTTTGCGAATATCATGCCAGTAAGAGTGAAATCCATCTGGACCGTCCAAATTCCATTTCTTTTCGTCACTGAAGACAATGGAATCCCATTCTTTGGACCACGTCATGTGTTTTCTTGCCCACTCCAACCGGTTCGCTTTATGAGTGCTCGTGAGGGGTGGTTTTCCTTTCATTTTCTCATATTCAATATGTGGCGAGTTGTTCAACACGCGTCCAATAGTTGACCTGGAGACTGGTAGCTGCAAACGAGATGCAATTTGGGCGCAGGACACGATTTGATTGCTTGCTTCATTCAAAATCCGTCGTTTGTCCCGTGGCGTAAGTTTCGGTGGCCGTCCTCCTGGATTTTTTTTCCCGTAATTTTCTCCCAAATCAATGTAATTCTTGACTGTTCCATAATCTCTGCCAATTTGCCGTACTATTTCACTGATTTTACAACCAGATTGGTTCAGAGCTGAGATTTCCCCTTGTTCGAATGGACTCAAGCGTTTGTTTTTCTCCATTCTCTTTCTACAGTACCAAAAAGAAAAATTGGATAATTTGACACAATTTTATTATTAAGTAATGCTAGGTTATACATTCTGAATGTTTACTTACCAATAAAGGAACCAGCTTTTCACAAAAAAATTTATTTAAGTCAGAGAAAGTAAAATTTGATAAAGTTTTGAACATTCACTTTTGCAGATTTTCCCGGGTAAAACTCATATGGAATTTTTTTACATAGCCATACTTTCATACATACTAGAGAATGGTAGTGTCAACATTTGTACAAAATTTCACCACATTTAGAGCGTCGATAGAAAAATTACGCCGAAAAAAACGACATTTGATAAAGATATGACCCAGACTGTATATGCACTCCGTTTGGTGATGATTCAATACCGTTTTGCTAAGAGTATAGCCTTCTCCATAACGGATGTTTATGGCACCGACTTTTATTAGACCTCTGTCAGCTCGATCTTCACATTCCCATTCTTGAGAGTAGAGTTTAATAACACTTCCTTCGTTTATAAATAGGTCAGACACCTGGAAAGTGTCGTGTGAAGAGAAAAACAGTTTTCCATACATTTACATATGTATCAATATATATTTTATGATGCATGATGTCTACAAAATCATGTTGTATGTTTACAATAAAGAATCAGTCGATTGGCAACCGGCGCGTTGAATCGTTCTACTTATTTACCACTGTACACAGATTTGTAATAAATTTGATACTGCTTGCGTTGAAGAATAATTTGTAACTTGAACGAGGAACATTGTACTTAAATAATTTTCGTTTACTTTGACTTGTTCCATGACATATAAATAATTTGTCTCGTCCCCAATATTTTTGCGCATTCGGCACCACAAACCTTGTAAATGTCACGATTTTTGCATTATACTCGAGTATAAAATCAGCTCCCAAACCGTTCCAAACAGAGAATTTGACTTTCTACTTTTCCAACTTAAATTAAAATTTCCCGTGAAACTAAACCTCTGCCAAAATGCATGGAAATGTAGTTCTAGTTTTCCTACTTTTCGTGACCATTTTTGACCATGGGTTGACCACCCATGGATGTCACCTGGTGACTTCTAGCAAATCAATACCCTGCATGGACCTCCAGGCCACGTCCTTCATCACCAGCGCCACCTCCACATTTGGCCGGTTTGTTGAAGGCGCATCCACAAATCGAAGGGACACATGTTCGCTGTCAATTACGGAAATAGTTCCACCCTTAATACGTATGGTAAGCAGGGTGTTTTAGTCAATTTTCTAAAAATCTAACAAGGTGATGGTGCGAAGTGTAACACTCTGAAATTTTCGTATTGTGACGCTCATATCAGTGAAATATTTATTGACACAGTTCTTAAGGTTTTCAGAATTTGTCAAAAGTAATTTAGATACCATGAAAATTTGGCGATTTTATTTTCGAGCGGAAGAGGATAACCTGAGTTTGATTTACAAAAAAATGCCAATTTTTCAAGTTCCACCTAAAATATTTTGACAAATTCTGAAACCCTTATATAAGAACTGTGCCAATAAGCGTTGTACTGATATGAACTCCATGCTACCAAAATTTAAATAAAATCATAGTACTACACTTGACACATTCGCATTTTTTAGTTAATAAAGATTCCTTAATTTCGAATAGGACAATTCTTTCCACAAATCCGTCCTTTTTACATCGACACTCGTACAAATTCGCAACTTCACGGGATGCGATTTCTCAACGATAAAACCGCCTTTGTCATTGATTCTGCCAACCATCGCGTTCTGAAATTGAGTCTCACAGAAGACTCAAATAATTTCCCGATCGTGTTGAATTCCACCGTTTTCTGTGCTCCCACCAAACCAGAGGCTATGATGGAGCCGAACGACCTGACCCTTTCGCGGAGTGGCACTGTTTTCACTTCCGGAATGATGTTCACCACTTTTCCGCACAATAGGGAAGGAGATGTTTGGAGTTGTACGAAAAATGGGGAGGTAAGGAAACAAAGTTTTTCGTAGCCATGACCTTCCAGATCTTCTCATGACCTTATGACCTTATGACCTTCATGACCTTATGACCTTATGACCTTCATGACCTTATGACCTTATGACCTTCATGACCTTATGACCTTATGACCTTCATGACCTTATCATATCTGATAAATGCATATAACCACCTGGGACCTGAACTATACACCTTAAGTAAAAATATGTAAAATCCAGTCAAGGCTGAGTGAAAAAAAATAAATTTTTACTAACAATGAGGAGGTGTGAGGTGGTTATCACCGATCGGGACCGGACTAATTTTAAATTGTTCAGGCCCTGAAATAAGCCCACCCGTATTTTTTCGTTTTTCTGAATGGGCATGTTTAAGCCCTTGGCGGAATTTTAGAAATAAATTTCAACCAAAATCTGGATTTTTTAAAATCCTGTAACTTTTCGAATTTTAACCCGATTTAAAAAAATAAACCCAATTTGTGTTCAGATTTGTGTTCAATTTGTGTTCAATTACATCCCTGAAAATATAAAATTTCATGTTAAAAAATTTAAAAAATTTGATATTTTCAAGCTATTTGAGAATTTTTAGAAACTCGGAGTTTCTAAAAATTATCGTTTTTGGAGTTTCAAACTCCAAAAACGATAATTTTTTGAAAATTAAAAGTTTTCAAAAAATGAATATTTTTTATATTTTCAGGGATGTAATTCTGAACATAAATTGGGTTTATTTTTAGAAATCGGGTTAAAATTCGAAAAGTTAGAGCATTTTTAAAAATCTAGATTTTGGCTGAAACGTATTTTGAAAATTCCGCCAAGGGCTTAAACATGACCATTCAGAAAAACGAAAAAATACGGGTTCGCTTATTTCAGGGCCTGAACAATTTAAAATTAGTCCGGTCTCAATCGGTGATAACTACCTTACACCTCTCCATTGTAAGTTTTGCGTAATTCTCTATTTTGCTCGAAACTTTCAGTGAAATTTACACATATTTGTTTTGAGTAAAAAAGGGTTAAAAATCTATTACCTAGGTAGAGTTAAATAAATACTTCAAGCCGGTATTGATTTGGTAATTACTTTCTACCAGATTAGTAGTAATATGTCGCTTAGTTGAAAAATTTTCAGTGCCACAACCAGGGTTCGGAAAAACCCCGGGTTTTACCTTGAAAACAACTACCCCGGGGTTTTACTGGGTTTTGGGGTTTTACTGGGTTTTACTCAATGTTTGGGGTGAAGCAATGCAACTTACAATGTTACACCAATTTGTTAAATTGATGTATTTTATCAGGATTTACCATAAAACTAATGCAAAATACCAAAAACACACCCAAAAATCATTCATATGATCAAACTCCATGTATAGCTGTAAATTGTGATTTTTAGATCATAAAGAAAAATTCTAAATAAATATAGAACTTGACGGAATATTGCTCAGAGTGCTTAATTAGAGTTAGATAAGCACCTGGAAACTGATTAGATTAATTTATCTATTTGAATTTGAGATAAAACCTAGTAAAACCCCAGTAAAACCCCTTTAACATAGTAAAACCCGCTGGGTTTTATTGATTTACGACCCAGTAAAACCCAATAAAACCCCAAAACCCCAACCCAGTAAAACCCGGGGTCGGAATACCCTGGCCAAAACGTTAAATAAACTGTAATACCAGTTCCGGTATTGTCATACATACATATCTACATACACTTGGGTCATTAATGATTTAATTCCAATCTTCTAAAAGTTTAATTATCCAGGCAAAACGACTGGAATTGATCGGCCGCACGAACGGGATCGACCTTTCGTTTAACGAAACGCGTCTCTACGTCTCCGAAGGAACGCCATCCGGTCAACGGATCTGGGTTTACGAGGTGGACGTCCATGCCGGCACCATTTCCGGGAAACGGTCGTTCGCATTTTTCGAGTATCCCGCCGATTCCGCCCAATCCATCGCGATTGACGGGATGAGGACGGATGTGCAGGAAAACTTATGGGTGACGAGGTACGGTGGGAGGGAAGTCGTCGTTTTTAACCAGCATGGAAAACTCATTGGTCGAGTGGGAGTATCGTTTCAGAATCCGACTAATTTGGAATTTGGGGGAGAAAACGGCACCACCCTCTTCATCGTGGGACAGTGCGAAGGAGCCGATGCGGGATGTGTGGATAGTATTCAAGTCGCCACGCCGGGGAGATCTTGGACCATTTTACAGTAAATCCCTTATTCGCACATGTAATTATGTCTCTTAAATAAATTTGTTAATTTGAAAAAAGTGACAATTCTGGAATCTGAATATGAGAATAAAAAGTTCCGTGTAACAACCAAAAATATTGAATAATTTTTTACATTTTTCGTCCTCTGTATAACTCCTGAAATCAGAACAATTCAAGTTTTGCATTTTTAAATTTTAAATTTAAATTAAATTTTTTACTCATCCCTAGGATTTATTTCAGAAATTTATTTGATATGCAGTCAAACGTCAACTACTAAATATTAGCAGGAGCTATCCAACCAAGCCTCAGTACTACTGATTGTGAGCCAGTACATATTGAGGCATACTCTTAAAAATCTGGTAATAAATTCTTAATACCGCGTATTACCCACGGTAATACGCAGACGGTAATTTACCGTCTGCGTGGTAAGAATAGGTATCACCATCAGCGGTAGTATGGCCAAGCTCTATTACCATTTCTTCCACCAAATGGTAGCAAAGACTACCAGCTGGTTAAATTGAGAGTCTTAATTCGTCCACCACCGCGGCAAGGCAGCATTTAGTCTCATGGAAAAATTGAGGTGTTACCGTGCAGTAAAAGTAATATCTACCAGCACGGTAGAGTCATATGTTTACCGCGTGGTAACAGAATTTCTTAGAGTGTATCAATATAATTTTACAAAAACTCAACTAATTTCAGACTAAAATTGTTTGCAATTACATATCGTCGGACAAATTCCGAAAGGGCCAAAGTGCAGTCGATACATAATTCCGAAAGGGGCTAAGTACATTAGAAAATCTATTGAAAAGACCTAACTGCATTTTCAATATAACTGCATATGTAACCGCAATCCCTGAAACTGGGAATATTTAATTTTGAAAATTTTAACCTTACGATTGTCTCGACCGACCTTTAGTATTGGACTACTTATGGTAAAATTATAAAAATTAAATATTCACAGATTCAGGGATTGCGGTTATATATGCAGTTATACTGAAAATGCAGTTAGGTCTTTTCAATAGCTTTTCTAATGTACTTAGACCCTTTCGGAATTAAATATCGCTTGCACTTTGGCCCTTTCGAAATTAAGCATCGACTACACTTTGGTCCTTTCGGAATTAGTCCGACGATATATGTAAATATAAAATGCATCAAAATAAATTTCATTAACAAAACGTGTGTTTATGGTAAAGAAAGGAATATTTATTCCCGAGCAATTTAAACCAATCCAGGAATAATTATGTAAATATGCCAGTAACTAACTTGAGCAATATTTTTTATTTCGCTCGATACATAATTTAGTCCCTTTTTCATCCCAAATTAAATATTTACTCAATCGTAACAGAGTTCATTTTATTCCACTTTTTAACATCGTACTCCTGCCGGCACAATATCCAGTTGATCTTGTCCACGAAAACCATCCCCGCCTTGAGCTGGACTTGTCGCGACGCGTCGTTGTCCACCATGCACTCCGCCCTCGGAAGCAGCCCGAGGTCCGCCACCTTTCTCGCGAGCGCCTTCATCACGATGATCCCCAACCCGCGGCGACGAAAGGCATCCTCCGTGTGCAGAATCTGCAGCAATCCGACGGGGGAGTGGACCGCATAGCTGGCAAAGTCGGGGTCGCCGTCTGGATTCGCGTACACCCCAACGGACCCCAGGTTGCAAATCGTGGCGGATAAATTACCCTTCGAGTGGGGCAGTGTCCAAACGTAATTGTTCAAAATTTGGTCAATATCCGCATCAATGGGGCGAATGGAGGAAACCCTCATTGAAATTCCATCGTTTCGAGTGTCTTGATAGGTGTATTCTGCAATTAAATTTTTCACTTTTTCAATTAAATTTTGAAGCAAAAAAAGACCTATTTATAATGCTCGTCTAACATGTTGTCTCTGATTTTGACTAAATTTGTGTCAATCCATCATCCATTTATGTACATACCTAATGTAAAATTGTCAAATCCCACCATGTCCCAAGGGCAAGTTTGACAGAGATATTTGCCTCTGCAGGCAAGGAATAGCGAAGCAAATTTGCAAAGTTTAAAATTTGTCGCGCTTTACGAACGTCTATGTAAATATTACGTCACCATTTAGCGGGTGGGTGGTCTAAGTCTACCTAAATATGTATCTTTCCCATGTTAAAATTCCCTATCTTTAATGTTTACGTTGAGTGGGTGGGTGCTAAAATCGAGCATTTTTGACGACGTAATAAATGGACGAACCCTTCCGGCATATTTCCTTCTCTCTTTGTGCAAATATCTCTGCCAAACCGTAGAGCAAGGCGTATTGAAAATTTGGCAAAATTGTCGACCGATTCGCACTAATTCGCACAAAATCGGTGAGCATACACACTGGGAGATTTTTTTGTATTGCTAGAAATTGGAAGAAAGGAACGAACCCTTCTCATAATTTAAAGCCGTGTCCACATCCAAAACATGCGCATCGCATGGATTGTCCTTATATTGAATTCCTCTCTTTTCCAAAATTTGTCGCAAATACGAGTCCAGAAAAGTTTGCGGGATGGATCCAAAAATGTGGGTTCGATCCCAGTCTATTAATTCCTCGAAGGATTGCATCATCCCGGAATTGATGGGAATTAATTCTGGTGGGCGGAGTAGGATGCAGTATTCACTGTGAATCTACATAATTTCCGTGGAACATGTTAACTTTTTCACGGTAAAAAAGTTTACGTATTTTGGACATAATTACATTATTTTGAACGCAAACGACAAATGGGTCGGCCCACTTATCAAAATCTTGCGTTTCTTCGTCATCCTCGTAGAGAAATAAGTCCGAAATCGTGGGTTCTTTGATGAGTTGAAGGATCTTTTGCCTCACCATGTTCAAAACCTGGGAATAAATGTAAAGATAAAATTATCAGACGCCTATGCTGTCAAATTATGCTAAAATTCGTAACACTGGATGGCAAACTTTATTAAAGTGAAATTTGCCATAGGGATGCTCTCTCGATGCGAAGGTTGCATTAAAAGAGGAGAAAATGTGTCCTAAAGTTACAGAAAAAATTATAAATAATTTCCCAATTTACTATGCTGTCTGTGCAAATATCTGTGGCAAATGTGCCAAATGATATTATCTTTTCTGAAAATTTCCTTTTAATTAAATTTGTGATTGATGGACACTAATTTGCACAAAATCAGAGAGAATATTTACGCTGCGAGACCTAAATCGTGGGAGAAATACTGGGCTAAAATGTGTGATTGAAAGTTAAATACTTTGTAATCGTTTTTCAAGTTAATTATTTTCTTTCATCTCATTTTTTTACTAACCGATATTAATTAATTTTTATGAGCAAATATATAATTTATCACCTGACTAGATTTTGGCAAATGCTTCATCAAAGCAGAATCCAACCGGGGTAATTCCTCATTGCCAAGTTTCCTAAATTTGCCAGGTTTACGATTTGATCCCATATTAATTAAGATTTATTTTCAATCAATTTCTAATCAATTTTTCCACCACCCAGTTGCCAAGTTCATGGCCTGACTTGAAATGAGAGAATATCGCGAATATAAGTTGGTTTAAATTAAGTTTTCATGCATACATGCATACATAAATAGTTCTTATTCTATACATATTTGCATACGTTACTTTATAATAAATTTGTCATTCATGAGACTCTGGTTTGCTCATCAAGGTCAATGTTAAGGTTATCCAGTTACGAAAAAATTAATAAATTTATCCATTCATCCCACCCACGAACGTGCATGTGTCTGCATTCTGACCACAATGCCAGACTGCCAAGTATGGGGCCGTGCATAAAGCGTATGACCAGGTTCTCTTAAATATTTAGGTATCAATTTCAAACTAAATGTCCATGTGACTTACATAATATACGTACTTCATAGCAATGATGTACGTATCTATGAGGGTTTTCACGACCTTCATAACTGTGGATTCGTAAAAAAAATATTCGCAAATTTACGTAATTTCCGACGGGTTGACGTGAAAGACCCTTTGTAAAAAAATATTTCGTAAAAATTGTTTTTAATTTTTCCTTGCCTAATATCATCGGTAACTATGGTGTACGAAATATCATGATTTTTTATGCTTACAAAATTTTTTTACGAACGAAAAAGATGCCTGAAGCTTGCGTATATTTACGAAGCTTCGTAAGCATGGAATTTTCGTAGATGTCGTAAATTTACGCTATTTATGTACGACAGTTACGACAGTTACGAAGGTGACGTGAAAACCCTCTATGTATTTACATATTTTTGAGAAATTCTAACCCCATTTTGGCAGAGAGACAAAGAGTTTTTTATTTATAACTTGTAAACCAAGCTGATTGATTGAATTAGACTACCACTTGAATATTGGTAAGTAGGGTAAATTTAATTTAATTCAATTACTAAATTTTTAGAAAATTTTGACTCAGGTCGCATTCGAGTCGATCGCGTGCTTTATTGTGAATAGTCCATTTTGTTATAGTGCGACCTATGTACATCTGCTCAACTAAATTTACGGGGCAATAGGCAGAAACGGGGGATTAACCTTACTGTGACCATACTTCTAAAAATCAGTTACTAATTATGCTACATACATGTAGTTGCAAACAATTCTTCCGATAAAAGACTGGTGTTTATCGCAAACAAATTTTGGAGTCACGTGTAAATATTGTGAGCAACCTGGCTCTGCTGTATGTTAAAATACATGCTCATAAAAAATCCTGACGACGCGACAGAAACAAAGAATTGCATAAACTGTCCAGTATGTAAAATAGTGAAGTGTAGAGACCGGATGGAGAATGGAAAACCAGACAGTTTCAGGTTACGGGTTCAGTTTGGAGCTGACCCTACAAATATCTCACGACCAAGCTAACTCGACGAACTCGCACTTAAAACTCTGTATGAGATGTGACTGATTTTTATGTTAAAGTCTGCTGTAGGAGTAGCAATTATGTACCATATAAGAATGTAGATTGGAAGAAAGGAGATTATTAAGAGATTGGATGGGAAAGAGAGAGGAATAAAGCAACGTAACTCAAGTCGTACCCACACGAGAATATTTGCTGTTTTTCATACATAATTATTACTGCATTGCTTTGCAAATAATGCAAATTACTACATTTTGACCAGATGAATTATTAAAAGTCATCTCACATTTTCTAATCACACCATTCACACAAATAACACATAACTCAGCAGCACATAAATGAACCCAACTTTCCACAGTTGGCTCACAATATGTTATGTAAATATGTTTTGTGATGCATTACATATGTACATATATGACCTATTTGGTCACAATGCGGTTAAATACTTGAGTAATTAATACCGTGAGTTTGATATGAACTATATGAACGCAAACGTTGTAGAGAAAGAAGTAATTCACATTGATTGATAGCGAATCAATAAAATTTGGAGATTTAAGTTGAGATCTACATTCATACATGTACATATGTATGTACACTCTTAATAATCCGGTAAAGTTACGCAGGTAATGATTTCTCGGTAATAAATTTGGCAATAATGATGTTTTACCAGGTAGTAAAAATTCGTTACCGTGATTGTAAAACTTTATTACCAAGCCATTACCACACGGCACAACTTATCATTACCACTTTGGTGGAGTCATATACTTGTGCTTTTCGGTAATATTTATTACCAGATTATTTGCAGTGTATCACGTGCTGATTGGTGTGATGGAGAATATGCACCCAAGATTCCACAGCGTTCGACCTGCATACATCACACACATGTCATTAGCAAACAGAGCGTTCCTTGTAAAATTGGAGTGCGAATAAGGTAAGGATTCGTCCCTTCATACATTTTATCAAGTACATATTAACAGTAAGGTAAAGTAGTATGATACATTTGTATATATATAAACTTGCAAGCAGTTAAGTTCACACTGGTCAGATTTGCTATAAAATAACAGTTATGTAGATTAATTTATATGAATTCAACAAGTCGGTGGTTTCATTAAAATTCCGAAAGCTCAATTATTTTTCCGGTAACAAATTAATTACATTCCGGAAAATTCAACGCCGGGAAATTCAATGATTTTTTTCCGGATTTTTCAATTTTTATTCCGGTGAAAAAAGATTATTCCCTATTTTAAGCCTTGTACTCAGAACTGATTTTTCATTGGATTTCAAAGGTGTACCAAAATCAGGGAAAAAATTTGCAAACACTCTCATTTAGTAGACTTTTATTGTCAGGTGTACAATTCCAGTGGAAGGGTAGCTGATTACTTACTATGCGATGGCGCATCAGCGGTCTCGCTCCGATTTTGACGAAATAGCGATAATTATGTATGTAGCCTTGGGGAAATAATTGAACACGTGTTTCGGGATTTTTCGTAATGCTCAGTTTTAACAAAGTTATGATGGCCGAAAAGTCGAATTTTTCTCCCTCAAAAACAAAAAAAGAAAAACTTCACCAGAAAAATGCGAATTTTCAGCCATCATAACTTTGTTAAAAGTGAGCATTATGAAAAATCCCGGAACATGTGTTCAATTATTCCCCTTAGGCTACATAACTATCATGGTTTCATTAAAATCGGAGCGGGACCGCTGGCGTCATCACATAGCTAGTAAACTTTACTATTAAACAACGATCCTGCCGTTTTACGTGAAGAATTAGTCCTGAGTACTCTTTTTTTAACTAAATACGATTTCATCACAGGAATTCGGATTGAACCACGCCAGTCTGATCATCCTATCGCTTGAATAAGCATAAAAATCCACATAAATATCGTCGTACTAATTCTAAAAAGACCGAAGTGCAGTCGATTATTAATTTTAAAAAACCGAACTACAGAAAAAAAATTCTAAAAATTCTAAAAAGTGCCAGAATGTATTTACTTATGGCTAAATCGCGCGATATATGAAGAACCGTTTTGGCAAAATATAGCCATAAGTAAATACATGCTTGCACTTTTTAGAATTTTTAGAATTTTTTTTCTGTAGTTCGGTTTTTTAAAATTAATCATCGACTGCACTTCGGTCTTTTTAGAATTAGTACGAGGATATGTAAGTGTTACAAAACTACAATTGTAAACATACGTATATGTATGTAAAACTCAAATGAATGCTAAATGGTGAATAGATGCATGGCTAAATAAAAAGGTGCATACAGCAAGAAGGTCAATTTTATTTTAAACCCGTTCAATTTTACTGCGCACAAAAATACAAATGTGCACAAGTTGAGTGTTCCACTCGAATTCCAGACATTTGTACAAATGCGGTCAATTCAATTCAACTGTTTCACAAGTGAGTCATTCAACTCATTCATGTTGAGGACTCGTTTCTGTATTGACAAAAATATTTAATAAACTCCATAACGGATATAATAAACTAGCGGAACCGGTGGTTTGTTCGGAGATAAAAAATATCCGTACTGACAACGATTGGAGTTTTCTTGGTTAAGGTTCTCATAAAAAGACACCAAAAAGGTGCGATTTGTGGTTTAACCCCACGCCAGGGCGGGGTGAAATTGCTGAGTGAAAAAAGCATAGTCTGGTTTAGAGGGATTATCAAAATCCTGAGGAATTTATTTAATTATTTGTGTATCTAATGCTGCTGCATATCTAATTATACTAGCGTATAAGCCCGTCTCCCGAGGGACAAATCTATGTAAGATGCAAATGTCCGTAAGAAACTGAAATGACTGATTTTTAATTTGTAAATTTTTAATTGATTTTGAATTTTCGCGCCATTCGAAACTTAACTTTCTCCACTTTCACTTCCGTCACGGAAAATTACTTTCACTTCCGTTGCAGACAGACATTTCCAGCTTATAATATAGAAGATCATCGTTTCGTTAAAATCGGAGCAAACACGCTGTCGTCATCCCATTGTTAGTATTTAGCATATTTACATAATTACGAATTTGATTTGAGGCGTTCTGGAAATATTTTTCCCTCAAACGGACGGACAAAACGATACACGTATTTGCATATGTACATATGCAAATATAACAATTACTCTGCGTCCAATTCGTTAACAATATTCACATTTTGTCCATCAGTAAAAATTCCTCGGTTGCTTGGAATAACAACAGAAATTAAAAACTTACAACCTTTTCATTGTATCATTCACAAAAGCCTAAATATGTACGTAAATGTGTATTCATTGAAATATCTAAATAGCTATGGACTGAAACTTTTCTATCGACATATTGACATGAATAAGTATGTACTTATTGTGGTACTGCTTCAGCAAGCTCCCTATTCTTATTTTTTAGTCAAGTTTGTTTGTAAATTTAGTGGCCAATTTTCCATTGCAATGTAACATTTGCATTTATTCAAGTTGATGAGGGACCTGTTTCAGGAGCTTGAAGTTTACATAGGAGGTGAAGTTCAGAAGTTGTCAACGCCAGATTTCGATATGTTTTTTGGGGCTCAGAAAAAGGGCAGAAGGATTCGACTTCATGGGGAAAATTGCGACCCACACGAACTTAAATTTATGAAAAATGCGAAAAAAACATTTTCTCGACTGTTCTCTTATGTTACATCCAAAAATCCACTTTGGTCAGACTTGGAAGAAATTAATACTTTTGCGATCTCAGAAAATTGCACTATTTAGTAGATCAAATTCAAATTGTGAAATTGAGCATTTTGTAAACAAACCCATTGTAAGAAAATTTTCCAAAAAAAAGGTTAAGATTGCTATCTTTCCGTCACAAAATTCAGTCACAAAATTAAAAATATAATCAATCAATAAAATTAAACATATGTAAGTCACTAAAAGTCATCTCATTTAAAGGTAATGCATTTAGATGAGATGACTAGGAAAGGTTTCAATCTAGGAAAGGTTCAAGCGAGAACCTTTGTCTAGTGGCATATTCTATATTTTATCTAATTTTTTGACTTGATTCTTTTAAGTATAAATTTGTAGCAACAAGCATATTATAAATAAAATGCAGAGTATCAGTCACAATTATATAAGGCGTTTATTTGTTGCCTAAAAAATATCACTGATAGGAGATAATTGCGGTAGTAGATAATGTGTAGTACTTATGTACGTAGGCGCATTTACATCGGCGCATTTGTGTCAAGAAGTATACTTGACGGAAGCATTTCTGTCAGGGAGCATTCTTGCCGACGCATATTTATCCGGAGCATATTTAATCGGGCGCATTTCAATCGGGGAGCCGGCGCAAACGTATTTAGTTTAACTCATTCACTCTTTCTACACTCATGTATTTAGTATTGCAAAATGTCCAAACGACATCAAGATCTGGAGTTGATAACCTGCGACTTTTTCCGCCCAAGTTAGTTGTAAATACAACAAACATTTCATTTCCAACTGCACGGGTACGATTATACATATTTCATAATGTGGCTTGTGAATTTTGTGAATGTTGAGCAGATTGCAACACTTTATTTGTAAATATGTAAATATATGTATGTATCAATTTGGTTTCAGCTTCAGTCGCTAAAATGTCGCGCGGACGACATGTTGTTAGTGTTTGCAGGAAGTATTGGAGTAATTCCATGGCTAAGCTTATTCCGTTGCTGGTTTTGTTTTCAATGGTACAGAGAGCTAAGCGTGGAGAGAAGCAACTTCCGGTTTGTACTTGTACAGTACATATTTAGATTCTCTCAACCTGCTTATGTATGTATGGACATTCTGTACCCAGGAAAAAATCCAGGGGAGAAATTCAATTCTAATTTGCGCACAGCGTAAGCATAGATTTTGAATCCAAATTTAATGGGTTGAACCAATTGGTTTTAATCAACAAATCACGATGCATTGGTACTACATATTTTATGGGTGTTGTTAAGTTTTACGCAACAGAAATTGTTCGCGACCAGTTAAAATTCAATTCCAAACATACTCAAATCATACTACTTACACAGTTTAATTCATAAAAATTTTTGACCCACATTGAAACACCTTCGTGTCATGTATGCACGATAGATACTTTCAACTTTCAGATTGTATTTTCAAGATAAAATTAGGTTAAAATGGATTAACATTCAAACAAGCCCATTCATTATGCATTGACTGCGTCCGCGTTTTGTATTTATAACCCGTTAAACCAGTCAAATATTCACTACTCTTTTTGTATGTATATTTAGTACCATTTATGAAATATTTGACATCCTAAATAGAATTTTAAAATGCTCAAAATTCCAACAAAAACATGACACGTCGTTTTTCAAGCGACCTACACATGTGTGAACCGCGCGCGAGCTGCTTCTCCTCTTGCTTAGCTCTTTAATAATTTTCCCATGTTACATACAGCCCACATTATTCGCAGTACAAAATCTCCCTAATTTCCACATCCGCTATCCACACCATTGTTTCAACAAAATTTATATTCATTCTCGCCAACTAAATTCCTCTCGACATGACGTTAAAGATATTCTAACCGGATTGTTTCTTACTACGTCACAAGCCACATGGTCGATAACATCATATCCGCCAAGTTCTTACCGTACGCTTCCGATAACCCGATATCAACAAAGTTGCTGCATTTCCTTCAACCAATTCCTAGGTGGTGAACTAACTCAGAAAGATATTCAAAGTTCTTTATCTCCCAAAATTCAAGAATTGGAAAAGTACTCCAGTGTTGTGTTAATTCTGGAGCAGCAATTTAGTCCTCGAGTTAATCTGGATTTCTTGTGGGGTGAAAGGACACAGTTGAAAGTTTACCTTTTTTTGGTAGACCTGCGCAAAGGAGACGTTTCGATTTATTACGTCTGTTTCTTATGTTCAAACAAATATATTTTACTGGAAACTGGGAATATTTCCAAGTCTGATTTGGATTTTAAAGGCCAATGGAGCATTCATCAAATGGCACTATATTCAACCCGTATTCGGACAGAATTGCAGCTTAATCAGCTATGCTCAATAAGACCTTTGAGGATTTGGTATTTTCAATGCGGGTAACTTACATAAATACGGATTTTATATTTAAACCAAATCTGAAACATCTTATTTTATTTTTTATCCCCGAAATTTCAGTTATTTCAACTACCTCGTTCCCATATTACAAAGCAAACTCAACTTTTCCACCGTTTATTCCGCCGATTTGAGCGCCGTGTATCATCATCGGTACGGAAACTTACTCTACAACGTGTGGTCGGACCTCGTCACCCGGGAGAACTCGAGCCTTCTCATCAACCATAAACGATTTGGACATCACCTAATCTACTGCGAGTATGGGGCTCAGTCCCAAATCCGATTTAACGACTGGGTCGCCCCTTATCGACGGGAAGTTTGGGCCGTCATCGGGCTCACTCTGGTGGCCAGTTCGTTCCTTCTGGGAAACCAGGCTCGTAATTGGATTCATCTTTTGGCAATTTGTTTCCGCCAAGGTTACCCCACCTTTTCGCGCAAACTTGTCCCAATTACGTTCCTCATTATACCAATCCTGCTGGTTTATGAGTATTATTTAGCGTCAAGATTGGTCGTCCCTCCAGTCCAGGAACATCTCAGCTCGTTACGGAAAGTGATTAAAGCCGGGTTTGAAATTTATGGGCAAAAGCAACCCGATGGGATCAACCTGCCCTCGTTAAGGAGCAGACTTTCCTTCGATTTCGAGCTGGCCGGACTGCCGGATAAAGTGGATCGGACCGTATTCGAGACTCGGGCTCAAAATATTCTACAAATCCTGGGGCCAACCCGCCCCAATCGTAGCATTTTAATAGCTACCGAAAATCTAGATTATATTGTACAATTTATTGAACGAAACCATTTAAAAGGAATGAAATCCAGGTGTCACAAGATTGAGAATTTTGCTCTTGTCATGACCTATTTTGATGTAGTTAGGGTGCGAAGGTATCGGGAAGTTGGCAGGGTGGCGAACTTTATGGAAACCATGGGTTTCACAAAATTGTGGAGGGAAAGATACAAGTTTTACTTGAAAGTTACCTACATCCCGTGGGCTGTGGACACGAAAAGTTTCGTAAACAGGATTAACTACGATGATTTGGTCTCACTTTGTATTTTTTGCAGCATTTTGGTAGCGGGGGCGATTTTGATCTACTTATTTGAAATGGGAACCCTCTTAAAAAAATTGTAACCAGATTATTGTCACCAAATTTTAGTCGTACATATACGACTCTACCGGTTTGAGTATCACCCATACCGGATTGTTGATTCACTGTGGTTTTAATTATCACCGCAATGAATAACAATATAACCGCAATGTACTAATAATTTTACTTACCGATTCGGGAATGTTTACATTATTCTTACTAAAATTTGTACTTTAACGTAAAGGTAGTGGTCGATACCATGTTAAAAGCGCTTAGGAAATTGAGTTCTGCAGCTTGTGGAATATATTATTTGTAAGTCACAATCTCTTAAATTTCTAAATAAGTCGCGAAAACTTGATATTGTACGACGGTTCGTGGCATGATAAAACTAACAATGCAAGTCTTTCACGTGTACAACTCAGATCTGGTTGGGACCAATTTTATTTTGTTCAGCACAAAAAATAAGCATACCCGTATTTTTTCATTTTTCCGAACAATTTGAGCGCGTGGCGCGAATTTTAAACTGTTTTCCAGCCAAAACCTCGGTTTTTAAAAATTCTGTAAATTTTCGAATTTTAACACGAATCCAAAAATTCCAAAACATGTCTATTCAGAATGACTTATCTGACTTTTGAAAAATCCAATTGTCTCGAAATTTGAATTTCAAAATTTTTTTACCAGTTTTCGATATTCATTAAAATTATAAACTCTTTCAAATTCTTAATTTTTCAAAAAATAATGCATGTGGATTTTTTACAAGTCAAGTAAGTCATTCTGAAGAGACTTGTTTTCGAATTTTTGGATTAGCGCTAAAATTCTAAAATTTGCAGAATTTTTTAAAACCGAGGTTTTGGCTGAAAAATGTTTTAAAATTCGCGCCCCGCGCTCAAATTAGGGCATTATGAAAAATGAAAAAATTCGGGTATGCTTATTTTTTGGTCCCAACCCGATCTGATCTGTACACGTAAAAGACTTGCATTGTTAGTAAATTATAAATGAGTGAAACATATGAATACATTTGTTATTCAATACTAAAAAAACTGATGTCCTTGCATACATTTTACGAACATCGGGAGATAATTAATAAAAGCGCTTATCTACCTTTGCGTAATTAATTTGTTCCATGCAAACTCTACGTAACGCTAGATACATTTAACAATTCAGACTGGGTAGTAAATATGTATGCAAATATGTGTGTATATAAATACATAAATATATTTTAATCTCGAGATTGGGCAACAATTAATAAATAAGTTCATGCATATGTAAGAATTACTGAAACATTGAAACTTAATTAGTATTAATCTTGCTTTAATTCCAAATTTAGAATATCTATATTATGTACATATTGAATTTAGTTTGCGTTATTAATGTTTTAAACCCATTAGAAATGCCTGTGATTTGATTTATTCTTAATTTATGTATGTTTCGGCACAGGGTACAAGTTTCAATTTCTTGCTGTCTTAAGCTGCAAAAAAACTCCTTGGTAAACCCAACATTCTCAATTACGGGGAGTTGTTTAAGAAATATAGTTTCGCAGGTATCAGAGACTCCGTCCCTGCAATCCATCGCCCTATGGTGCTTACTTTTGGAATGCTCTACAATCTGGACGAACCAACAAAAAATTAGGCAAACAAGTCAGATAAACTAAGCATTTATTGGCATAACTATGTACAATTCATTCGCTAAATGAATCCTCTTACCCCATTAAGAAGGGACAAAATTTCTATCTTCTTATATGCGGCGGCTATTTTTGCCGCTTTGATAAACAGCTGAATGAACCAGGCTCCTTGTTCGTAGCGAAAGGATTTAGTGTCTATTACAATTACATATGTACAACATTTCTCAATGAATACCGCTACAATTTAAATACTATATGATACATTCTAAATATTTTGTCTTACCGCGATAAGATGAAAAAATTACAAGACTATCAGACATTTCGGGAGGAGTTGGACTCTAGGCAAGAAGTGTCAAGAAGTTAGCAAAACCAGTTTGGGCCCTGTACATATTTAAGTGGACAGTATGAAATGATTGAATTTACCTCTGCAAATGGTAAATTGTTCCAGAGTTCTTGCTCCGTAGTGGTCGGAATATTTTTGTCTTCCTCTGCGAGGGTCCCGCTAGCTCGGCAATACGTTGATAGATCAGTAATGTATTTAGGAATGTTTGATCAGCTAAATTAATGTTGCTGTTTGACATACCTTTTGGGCATCCGATGTTTCAGTGGCGAAATATCTAACCGATTCCCACTAAACAATTAATTATTTAAAATTTTTGTCAATTTGTTACATATTAAAGTGATACTAGGTGACGCTCCTCCCCAGTCAAATTATTGCTTACGAATCCTTATTGAAGACTTAAAACGTTCTCACTTGGTTCAATTTTGAATGAATTATAAATTTTACTACTTATACAAATGTCCATATACATATTTTTTAATTTGGAAAGTCGTAATTTGGAAAAAGAGATCAGGGCAATTTTTTGAATGACATTTATACCGGATTACTGGTTAACCGAAAAAATTAGACTGGTGGTAAGCACACATCCTTTTAATTTCTAGGCATCTTAACATACCGGCAAGTTTGAATTACAAAGATTTGCGGAACACCCATCAAATTATGACACTTTCCATTTCCAAAACGTTCAATAATTTCCGTGAAAATATTAATTTCTTTCCCATCGCTGGCAATAATATTGTCCTTTGAACCGTGGCCCATAACTGCTAAGAAAATTCCGTCAATTTTCCTCGTTTCGTTCTTAATTACGCGAAGAAACTTATCCAAAGTTTGGGACACGTCCTGAAATTTAGACATATACGCCGTTCTAAAAGAAAGTAATTAATATAATAATCCAAATGCAATTACTTAACCTTCTTTGTGGATTTTGGCCTTGTGACGGTGACCTCATATTTGTACTCGAGACTCAAGAAAATCCTTCAAATCCTTCGAATCATTCGGAGCTCCCTTGCGTTCAGCATGGCCACAATCGGTATAATCAACAATATTAATTATTAGCGCGTATCTGGCATTTCCCAACTGTTGAACGTACTAAACAAATATACGAAAATTTAGGATTTTTTCTTGAGATAAGTGGAAGAGCTTGCCGCACTTTACCTGAGCCTTCGTCATGTTGCGAAGAACATCATATATGTCGCCTCTGGTGATACCGTCCACATGGGAATTATTTTCCCTAATCTGATCATTGATAAAACCATTGTCTTCAGTTGTTTCAAGGTAGAAGCAACCTCTAGTGGAAGGCTTGCAGTGAAACCCCATTTCGACTTTTACAGATGTCTTCAAAACATTCGGGGTGACTTCTTCATTTCCGGTGCTTCTTCGAACTGTTGACTTGTTTCAAATAGTCCCTTGTTTCCTATCGTTGCTGTGAACAGAGCATGTGCCATGCTGTGGCTAAGGGTTCCCATGCCTATGGTGTAATTGCTCCATGTATTGTGCCCCGGTTGACAATAACCAGAATTTGGGTAGAAATCGGCATGACCGCACGGTTTCATTGTGCCGAAAGGGCCAAAATTCACCAAGGGGTTATCATCAAATTGTGCCAAAGTGGCATTGAAAATCTTTTGGGGTGGCTTTTCTTTTTTATGGTATCCGTCTGTGTGGATAACGTCCACAAAACTGGCATCCTTCGAGCAAAGCATTTTCGCTGTGAAATTTTCAAATCCTACTCCTGCCGGGTCAAGTCCGGTAATTCTGTTGATTAATTTGTTCTGCGAGAGGCAGTATCTCCCAGCCGCACCCATCAGGTGGGAGCCCAAACTGTGGCCAATGCCCCAAACATGGGTTGCAATTTTCTGCTTCGAAAATGCTTCCTTAATGTAAACAATCAGTTTTCCAAGTTGTTTGCCAACTTCCAGGCAATTGGCTGCTGCTTTGGCGTAGCTGCGATTCAACCCAATGTTACAAATATAATGTTAGATAATCAAAAAACATTTAAAAAACATGCTCAGGTGAGGCTTCGATTGGAGACTATCAGAGATGAGCCGTGCGCACGACTTTTTCGTGTTAACACGAACACGCACGACACGATCGTGCATCGTGTCGTGCGTGCGTCGACGCGAGCCGTGTCGTGCCGTGCTTGTAACTCTCACTCAACCACTTCGTGCGTGCGTGCGTGCAAAAACAATAGTATCCTCGTGTCGTGCGTGTTGGTCCTTTTAGCACTGCACGCACGTTGTGAAGCGGGACATTGGTTACTAGTGCTGGGGTTGCTAAATTCTTCGTATAATTGCATTTTTACACTCTGGAAATTGAAAATGTCGGTTAAACGACAATTATTCATGATAGTGTCAAACAATTCTTCGGTTATATAAGACACGATAGAGCTTAAATACAAAATAAACCGAAATTTTCTGATCGTGCGTATCGTGCGTGCCGTACGTGTTGCCCCGTCGTGCGTGTTTTTTCTTTTTAAAAAATTTGCCGTGCGTGTTGGGCATTTTTCTGGCAGACAAAGTCGTGTTTCGTGTCGTGCGTGAATTTTTTTTAAAGAGCCGTGTTCGTGTTCGTGAAAAACGTGACACGAGCTTCGTGTTGGTGCCGTGCGTGTTTCAAAAAATCTTGACACGACTCATCTCTAGAGACTATAGACAAGTTCATGCATACTTATAAAATTGAACCAAAGGTCCTCCATCCTCTTAAAATTAATTTCGCATAACCATGGCCAAACAATTAGAATTCCAAAGAAGGAGTTTGTCCAAAATTACTAGTCACTATTTTTTCCAATATTTATTAAATAGGTCATGTATAATTAAACTATCACAGTCTTTTTCAAAATAGTTGGCCGATATTTTGCAGATCAATTTTTCGTAGCAATATTTCGAAAATTGCAAATGGGTCAACATAGATTTTTTCATATAATGTACATAAGAACAACGAACTACATTGATTTAAAATTCACATATTTATCGTAATTATCTGTGAACACCGTAGTACTTGCCCACGAGGATGTAAAATAAATTTGAAGGGAATGAAGGACCTTCGGTTCAATTTTGTATGCATGGACTTGTGTTTAGTTTTTAGTCGAAGCCTAACCTGAGCGTGTTTTTAAAATATTTGTATTTCTCGGTTTCTGAATGACTTGACCAGGGTCCTTATACTGTATCCTTGGAGAATTTCTAGACAGGGTCATGTCAGTTTAAAACTTCTCCAAAATTTTTTTTACAGATTTCAAAGTTTGGGAATATGGGTAATTTTTGCTGGGAGAGTTTGGTTGTCAGGAATAATGAAATATTTCATAAAACGTCATAATTGTGTGCAGAATAGTTTTTACGTTCCGTTTTTGATACCGATCATAATTCAATTATTAAGGGGTGAAAGCCCTTTATAAGATCGTTATGTCCGTCCGTCTGTCTGTCTGTCCGTCTGTCTGTCTGTCCGTCTGTTGGTCCGATAACTTTTGAAGGGAATGACATAGAGACTTGAAATTTTGAACTTAAACTCCTAACGTCATGGGGCAGGACGAGTTCGAAGATGGACACTGTGACACACTTCTTTCACCCCTAGGTTACATGCGTTGTAACGGTTTATTTTATACAATAATGGAACTATTTTAATTTGCAATTAAATTAAATCGGTGTCATTTTATGATGGTTTATAAAATATTTAATTTTTCCTGACAACCAAACTCTCCCAGAAAAAATAACCCATATTCTCAAACTTTAAAATCTGTAAAAAAATTTTGGAGAATTTTTGAACTGACATGACCCTGTCTACAAATTCCTGGACTTGACCTATTACAACGGCGACTGCTTGTTGGAAAATTATTTTTTGTACGATGTGGTTGCACATTTTATGATATTGGTTGTCAATGGCAACCACATAGTTATTAGGTGAGCAAAAAAGTGCTTGCAAATACCGTCATTACCAACCGATCTACCCCGGATTTGATTTAAGAAATAAATAATTGATTTGCCTAAAAGTTATCAATCACATGCACTATGCTGGAAAATGTTGGTCGAAAATCGATTCGAAAGTTTAGAAACTATTTAACACACAATAAAGTAAACTCTATATAAAATTGAGGCTAAATGGTCAATCTCATCATCGGGCTTTACATCACTTGCTTTCATAGCATTTTGATAAAATGAACCGTGGAGGCGCAATCCCCGCGTGACTTTTAGGAATGAGGATAAAAAAGCATTCTCAGGCTTCACGGTAACCATGGTTATGTACTTTTGGCTCGGTTGAGAAAAACTTCAACATGTAGAATTTTGAAATCTTCCTTCTCTTATATTATAAGCTGGAAATGTCTTTCTGCAACGGAATAGAAAGCAATTCCCCGCGGCGGAAGTGAAAGTAAAGAAAGCCAAGTTCCGAATTAATGGCGCGAAAATTCGAAATAAATTAAATTTGAAACATTAAATGTCTTATGATAGTTATATTTGGAGTGGTTTTATCATTGTGGTTATTTAGAATGAATGTCTCTCCTACAAGCCTGTATTTTTTTTACTTTAACTTCTATTGCCGAGAGACATTCCCAGCTTATAAATCTCGCTCGCCCGGCGGAGTCGGGCTGATACGCTAGTTGCATATACGTAAATATACATAGTTGGAGGTACACATTTACCTAAATCCACCGCTGCCCGAGGACCAGTCCAAAAGAACAACAATATAGGTTGGATGATGCTTCAAAATTTCATTTTGCATACTGGTTACCCAAGTTTCTTTTGCATTACTTTTGAAACCGTGGGTAATTATGACGAGTTTTAAGTCCGCAAGGAAAGAACGAGCTATGTGTCTTAGTAATTCATCAACCACAGTTAGGGCATGGACTGCCGGGACATCAGTAGGGGTTACATATTGGGCAGATTTCAAGTTAAGAATTGGCTTGATTTTTGAAATATCCTTGGGAACGGGTAAGGCCTTTGGGTTGATAAAGTCAGCATTTGCTAATTGAGGTGTTCTGTAATGCGATAATGTAAATAGAGTATCTAAAAAATTGAACTAGCGAATATTTAATACAACGTAGTGAAATCAAATACCCAGGATTGTTCATTCCTCCATTATGAATCGGGTAGTCGTTCAAATTTATGTCAGACAATTTCGGATATAATGGTTTGGCGTTGATTGACGGGTAGAAATTAAAAATCTGAGTTTTTTCAGATTCTGCAGATTCTTTCGACAGTAGTGGAAGATAAGCCATGATAATCTCTTCAGTACTAAGTTTGTAATGCTCTTTCCTCGGTAAAATTGGAGGAACGCTTTGCAACAAAGAAAGTGTGTAATCTCGATAAACGTTATGGTCGTCGTTGGAAACAGGAATCGCAGGCACTACCACAATCCTGACGTATTTTGATGTCTCCGCGCACCAAACCCCTGGATTAATTGGATCGTTCGGGTCTTCGCAAGTGTCCAATTTCAAGTATCCCGGGCCGTAGTATACCGTTGTGTGAGGGATAGCAGCCCACGCCACGTATCCCACATCCCGCCCAACTTTTCCTGGAACTCTTTTCCCCGCATTGCCAGGGTTTCCCCCCTGGCCATCAAGACCATCTGTCGCTTCAACAATACTCTGGAGTTCTTGCACTTCAAGTTTGTCAATGCCTCCGATTTTGATTTCGGTAACTTTCCCAGCTAAACCGGATCGACCGGGAGCACCTCCGCGCCCAGGAACGCCTCCAGGTCCGCCGAGAGTACCTTGGCTCCCTTTGACTAAAAAATAAATATGCGTCCTAAATATGGCAGAGTGTACAGCAAATGTCATATGAAGCCGCTGCTTTGTTGTTCCTTGAATAAATCTTTGGGTTTGCTTTTCAACAATTTCCAATTCTGATTGTACTTTACTGAACGCACAATCTGGAGGAAATTTTTCTTTTAAATCCTTCAAACTCAGTTCAAACCCGTCTGTGCCTGGTTTTCCATTACAACCGTTACCGCCTGGTTGTCCCCTTCCTCCATTCCCACCGTTCACCTTGATCCGTAAATGGTTGAGGTTGTGACAGTCTTCCACAAGAAAGTATACACTTCCACCATTTTCGCCGTCACTTCCATCTTCCCCGTTTTGTCCAGGATCACCCCATTCTTTCCCATTTTGTGCGGGCTGGCTTGAGGCGTGGGCTCCATCAACGCCTGACACGTTCCATTGGCAAGGTTTGGTCACCTTGACCGTCTTTGAAATGATGACAACGTTTTTTCCATGCCAGTAATCTTGTCGAAGATTTTCATCAATTTGTAGCTCCTCCTTTGCAATGAAACACACGTTTACAATGGGTTGACCCGCCTTGGATTTTTGCTCCATAATTTCCTCCACCTGGTTTAACCATTGCGATATTTGCACAAAAGGGGAATGAACGATAAGGGCGTGTTGTTGGTTGATTAAAGTGGTGTAGATTGACGCCATGATGGCCGGTTAACTTCTGATCTGATAAGAGACAATTACTTATTTTATTTATTTGCATGCATAAAATCAAACTATGCAGACAGAGATAGGACGTGTCGTGACATAGATTAGAACTGAACCTGTATTAGCATTCCGAGAATCTTAACAGGCTTACGCTGTGTAGCTTATTTAATGCTACGATTTGTATATTAAAATTTATGTATGTTCTATTTTCCCAGGAGCAGGTAGATATTTCAAAATTATTTTCATATGTACAATTATTCAAAATTTATCGAACTACATTGTGCCAAATTTTCGAAGGAATGGAGATAAAATTGTTGAATCCACAAATATTGAAATATTTTATTGTTAAAATATTACGAATTGCACGTTACATACATAATTAATGCTGTCATAAGTACATAACGGGTGTAAATTTTCCGTTTTTCTTGTACAAGGCAGAATTCCGTACTGATAAAAACTTCGTAGTATTTGTGCTACAAATGAAAACAATCGGCCGAATTAAAATAAATCAATACCAATGGAAACCGGTCTTGGTATCAAAATATTGGAAAAGTGACTTCCCTCGCTAAACCTTAGGGAAAATGTGTTAACAATTGAAAATACACACAGGATCTGTTGCAAGGATCGCCCAGGAATTGAAAACTACAGGAACTGTAGCGAATTGTCAAAGCCCGGGTCGAAAACGCAGTAAAACACCATAGGGTTGCCGTTTTTATCCGACATTATCCTATCCGATCGGAAGGATGACCGATATCCGACACTTGTTATGACATGTGTCCTATCCGAGCCTCGGAGAGGATAATAAGTGTCGGATTATCCTATTGGAGAGGATGGGATACGATCGGCAACCCTTCACGAGCATGCGACGATAGTAAAAACAGTGACGGCAATCCTTGTCTGTAAGTGTCAGAAATTGCGAGAGATGTTCAAACTGGCCTTTTTACTGCTATCCACATATGAACGATTAGACACAGGCTGAAATTCGCCAGATTATCCCGAAATACATTCCACAGATGTTTGTGAGCAACCAAAAGAAATGCATAGCGTGGGTAAAGTAAAAGGAAGATGGTCCCATAGCAACCAGAATAAAATTTGATGCTCGGAGTAGACATGAATTCAACTTCTTTAGTTCGGATAGAAGAACGTGAGTGCGTAAGGAGGCCAAAAAAAGTTTGAAAAATTGATTTCTGAGATCAACTCTTGAACATAGCGGAGATAAGGAAATTCATACTATGCGTACCGCTAGGGGTGAAACTTTCGAAATCTTGCAGAGGGTGACGATTTGGGGCAGTATATGTTGCAAGAGGGTAACAGCATTGACGTAAATCGAAGGAATCATACATAACCAACGAGGTTTACGTTGATTTGTTAGAAATAAATCTTGGCCAATTCGCAACAAATGTGGACTTTGGTCAAAGATTTATTTTCAAAAATATTTTCAATTTATGTATAAGATAAATGCTTAAAACATAATCCCAAAATGCCTTAAGGACAATCGTACAAATGTTTTGAACTGGACTTGCAAATTTCCTGCCCTCAACTCCATCGAGAATAACGCAAAAACCCTGAAGCGTCGGATGACAGCACAGACACCGATATGCACGGCTCCTCTGTAAACCGTCATCACGAAAAAGTTAATAAACATCGACCATAGCGTAAATGAAAGGTTGATGGACTCGATTCCCAGACGATTTCAATAAGTTAGCAGCGAAATTTTGAACCGCTCATGCCATTAATTATTTATGTTAATTAATTAAATGAATTATGTTGTATTAATTATGTGACGGTCAATTCACAAAATTTTGGCACATAAATATTTGTGGATTCAATAGTTTTATCTCCACTCCTTGGAAAATTTGTCACAATGTACATAGTCCAATATATGGTAAATAACTAGCAGGGCCCTGCTAGTTATTTACCATGTCATTTTACCCCTGCAGGGGTGGGCAAGATACTTGGTCAAGATACAAGATAAAAGATACAAGATAGTATCTTTATCTTGTATCTTCGTCGCCTGATCAGAGAAGTATCTTGTATCTTTTATCTTGTATCTTGTAGAAAGTCGAAAGTATCTTGTGTAAGTATCTTATCTAGATACGCCTGGCAGAAAAGTATCTTAAGATAGTTGACAAGATACAAGATACTTTTTCTCAAAATTCCGTCAAATTAAGTCAATTTCTTACTACTGGCAGGCAATTTGACCATGAATTTGTCGCAACCAGATTTTGTTGAATTTTTAGTTTATGTTTTGCAAATTGGTAACAAACTTGTACATACATATATGTATTACTCGTACATTTGCACACATAGTTGCACATTGCATAATATGTGCCTACGCTGAACTAGTGTATAGATTTTATAGGGTTTAGTTTGAATAGGCAGGAAATATTGTAAAAATAATACCAACTTCTTAAAAATATACGTATGTTAGGTAGAGTTCTAGTTTTTAGAAATTTTTCGAAGTATAAGCACTGGAAACAAAATTTGTAAGATGATTATAGGATGATTTTAAATTTTGTACTCACTAGATTTTTTCGTTTGAATAATTAAGCATAACTAATTGGGCATGAATACCAAGCTAAAAAAAGAAAGTATCTTATCTAGTATAAAAGTATCTTAAGATACATATGTATCTTGACTACTTGATTTTTGAGAAAGTATCTTGTATCTTGTATCTTGTGTACTTGAACAAGATGTATCTTTTATCTTGTATCTTCTATCTTATCCTAGAAAGTATCTTATCTTGTATCTTGAATCTTCCGACCAAAGTATCTTGCCCACCCCTGCTAACTAGTATGAAAATTTTGAAATTTATAAATTTATAAATTTATAAATTTTGAAATATCCACCTATTCTTGGGAAAATTGAATTTTAAATTTAAAACCGTAGCTTTTAGTAAGTTGCATACTGTATTAAGGCAGGGTCCTTATACTGTATCCTTGGAGAATTTCTAGACAGGGTCATGTCAGTTCAAAAATTCTCCAAAATTTTTTTTTACAGATTTCAAAGTTTGGGAATATTTGCTGGGAGAGTTTGATTGTCAAGAAAAATTAAATATGTCATAAAACGTCATAAATGCACGCAGAATAATTTTTACGTACCGTTTTTGATACCGATCATAGTTCAATTATTTTATACAATATTGTACCTATTTTAATTTGCAATTAAATTAAATCGGTGTCATTTTATGATGGTTTATAAAATATTTAATTTTTCCTGACAACCAAACTCTCCCAGAAAAAATAACCCATATTATCAAACTTTAAAATCTGTAAAAAAATTTTGGAGAATTTTTGAACTGACATGACCCTGTCTAGAAATACAGTATAAAATCCAAGAATACAGTATAAGGGCCCTGGTATTTAGGTTAAAGTTTTTGAAGCCATGATGCAACATAACGCTGGGGGTGATGGGGGAGGTGTCTTCGAGCTACAATTGGGCGGTTTGGAGGCCAAAGATCGTCGACTTATCACTCTATCTTATCTACCTAAACTCACACGGTCCTAAATATGCTCATGCTGGTCACAAATATGGTCACAACTTCGCAAAAAGCGAATTTTACAAGGAAATTCCTTCACTTTGTTACTAAGATCGTGTAATGCGAGAAAAATGCAAGAATGGAACAGTTAAGACGCCAAAGCCTACATAACCACCAGCACCGAACACTATGCTCCAATATAAATATGCAATAAAATAAGTGGCGTACCTTCAATATAAAGGGTATCAGGAGGAAGGTTTCTAGTTCGATAGCGACAGATTTATTAATGTGATACGTTAGTTATCAATTTATTTACTTACCTTTTGATTATCTCTTACGGGTGCTCCGTTAAGAAGGGTTTGTAGTTTCCAAAGATTTTCTGACCGATCTTAAAATAACAGACGTATTGATGTGCAAATATTTAACTTTTGACTGCTCATTTAGCACATATAATCTGGACTAAACATTTGGAAAATTTGATGCGCAATGCATACGTGGAGGGTATGGCCTTATATGACTTTACATAATACTTATCCTAATTTATCAAACTGGGCTGGTAAGCTGCATTATGATTAATATTTGTTGAATATCTTTTCCAATCATTTAAGTGCGCATAAGCGTTACAAGGGAACCACAACTACTGTCCCATCTCGATTTCCTTCGGAATAGCCTTAATCGACAGATAATTTAGTGAAACTATTTAAAACTTTGTCATAGAACATGCGGTGCAAAATCACGTTTTCGCGAAATATTTGGCGAGAGCTGCACCAAAACCTGGCATTTTCCTAATGCTTTTAACATAGCCACCAGCCTTTCGAATGATGAAATGAACTTTGTAGAATATTGAAAAATTATATATGTACCCGTCCGCGTAATTTCAGCCCGATCACGAATATGCAAAAAGTGATGCAAACATTTGCCAATTTTTTGCAAAATGCAAAAATCGGAAAAATTTCGCAAATTTGAATTCTTCGTTCCCTTAAATTAAACGAAATTTACAAAGTTTGAACGATATAAAATACCTTTTTCTTATTGCAAAAAATTTGAAAAAAATGAAATTCACAATTTTTCATGAAAATTGGTTACAATAACCAATTCTAGTCAATTTTTACGCATTTTTGGAAATTTTTTGCGATGTTTATTTTTGCAAGTTTCAAAAAATTGCAATGTATTTCGTGATTTTTTAGTTGTTCTACAAATTAGCTTTTGCTTCATTGGTAAATATGTATGTATGTAAATGCTACTTTTTTAGTTTATAAAATCATAATGAAAAATTGTAAAATTGTGAACTAGAATCAATTTTTGCAAATTTTTTGCAATAAGAAAAAGTTATTTTATATCGTTCAAACTTTGTAAATTTCGTTTAATTTAAGGGAACGAAGAATTCAAATTTGCGAAATTTTTCCGATTTTTGCATTTTGCAAAAAATTGGCAAATGTTTGCATCACTTTTTGCATATTCGTGATCGGGCTGAAATTACGCGGACGGGTACATATATAATTTTTCAATATTCTACAAAGTTCATTTCATCATTCGAAAGGCTGGTGGCTATGTTAAAAGCATTAGGAAAATGCCAGGTTTTGGTGCAGCTCTCGCCAAATATTTCGCTAAAACGTGATTTTGCACCGCATGTTCTATGACAAAGTTTTAAATAGTTTCACTAAATTATCTGTCGATTAAGGCTATTCCGAAGGAAATCGAGATGGGACAGTAGTTGTGGTTCCCTTGTAAGATATGATATTAAATTATCATCAGTTGGAAGATTTCATGGCTAAGTTAATCCGTGAATAGCGTTGCTTAAACCCGTTGAATAACACAGGCAAGGGTAGATTACGTATCCTTCATGGGATTATATGGGATTAAATTCATTACTCAGATTGATAACGAGGCAGTAAAACTTGGATTTTAAAGTGGGGATCTACATTGGTACATACCGATGAATGTATTGCATGTGCCGCGGAGTGTTACGGAGCATATGGAAGAATTAAAATTATAAGTTAGTTATTAAGTAGCGTCAGCTACTTATTGTGATCGTTTTGTCCGTCTGTCTGTCCTTAGTGCTTTATTTAGTGCAAAGTATTTAGTGCATAGTATTTATTTTTTTATTTACTGTAATAATAGTTAAGTTTTATTTATTTATTTATTCGTTATTCGTAATTTTTATGAAGGTCTTTCCCAGGGAAAAGACGCACACAGCTATTGTGAGCTCCGCTTCAAGAAGTCTAATAAAGTCTCACAAACTCCATGGGGGCCATCCACATATTACGTCATCAAAATTTCTCCACTTCAGCACACATCAACTCAACGTATACAGTACACTGTGGGATATGGAATTTTAACATGAGAAGGATAGGAAAATCTAAACCACCCATCCGGTAAAATGATGACGTAACATATGAACGTTCCTAAGTTGTTTAAATGAAAGTGTAGGGATTTTTGGAACGTTATCATTCCAGGCTGGGGTAAGGTAAGGATTTATATGCATATGTAACACTAGAGTTTAACCCCATCTTATCCCCCACTGAAACTTCATCTACTGCATCTTAACCGAATTTTTAGCTTTCTAATGCATTTCTGAAATATTTTTGTCATTGACAAAAATATTTCAAAAATCAGGCGACAGAATTTTCCTGATTTTAATGTGTGGCATCTAATGTCGCTTCATTTGAAATAAATCCGGCATTTACGGTTCGAAAAACGAATATGTTTTACTAGTAGAATCTATTTCCACTTTCTAGTACCTTACAACCAACGTAAACTATGGTTGCTATTGGTAACCAAAAATAAATATGCGAAGAAATACTTGTATAACGAAAATTGTTTCTCAGATGAGACAAAAGAAATCCAGAGTAGGGTTGGGTTCCCGTTTTTTCGGATTAATCTGCTACAAACATCCAAAGAGTTAATTGGAAAATTTTTGTTCCGAAATTTGCAGGAGAAGCAGAGAAAATGTTATTGTGAACGGAGAACAAGTCGATTTCGGGATTCCAAAGTGTATTGCAGCTATGGTTCATCTATTAAAACCGCAGCATTTTCCTATCCAATTTTGCTGAAACGAGTTGGCCGATGGGCCCCATGCTTATTAGCATTGGAAATTTGATTTTGAACCATTCTTTCAATTCTCCATGGATTTTCAAAATTAAACATGTTTTGGAAACATCTGACTTTTGGCTAAAATATATAATTTCAAATTTTTAAAATTTGATCTAGTTGACCTGAAATCAAGGTCACAAGGTCAAAAAATGGCAATATTTGCAAAGTCCTTAATAATGCGTCTTCGCAAATTTGATTCGAAATTTGTAAGCCAGACAACTCAGGGGAGTGGTAAAATATTACCCGCAGGTCATTCAAAAGCTTGTGGGTGTGGCAGGGGGTGTGGAAAAATTAAATTAGTCTTAAATTACTAAGTTTTAACACCTGGAAGCGTTCAAAATATCACTATCCATTCAGGGTCACACCCCTCGACAATGGTTACCTTACCACATTAAAATCTTCAATTCCCACCCACAGGGGGTGTGCCCATCAGCGTTTTTGTGGTTAATCATCTTAAGTACATTGTGCGACACAAATAATTTATTGTAGCGAAATGGCGAACCCAATGGTCACCTCATATCACAAAAAACACCCACAACCTAAAATTTTGAATCCCCGCCCACCAGGGGTGTGGCTTTCAGCGGTTTTGCCATCTTTAAGAGAAAGCATGTTGTGTGACATATCGTTTTGACCAGAAACATAAATGCAAGCTAAAAAATAGTATCGATGTTACGAAAACCACAACCCCTGGTGGGTGTGGCTTTCTGCGCTTTTGCCATCTTTTCGAGAAAGCATGTCGTGTGACATATCGTTTTGACCAGAAACATAAATGCAACTAAAAAATAGTATCGATGTTACGAAAACCACAACCCCTGGTGGGTGTGGCTTTCTGCGCTTTTGCCATCTTTTCGAGAAAGCATGTCGTGTGACATATCGTTTTGACCAGAAACATAAATGCAACTAAAAAATAGTATCGATATTACCAAAACCACATCCCCAGGTGGGTGTGGCTTTCGCCGCTTTCAGCAGAATTCTTATAAAGTTTCTTGTGTAATGCGAATGGCGTGCTTTATTATAAGGGGACATTGAGTTTTGCTGCCGTTTGTCAATCGGTACAACATAACCGTGTGTAGCTCAAAGCTACCGAAAATACAGTTTCGTCTGAAATGTGTTAATTAGCCGTTGCAAATTCAGTTGCGATTAAGAAGCTGCACCGTTGCGGTACGATTTAATAATTTTACCCTTCACTTGGATTTCTTGGTGAATAGGTTAGCTTTACAATATTGTAATACGTACTATATTGGAAATTGACACTACTCTCAATTGATCAATTTTTAAGGGATTTTCAAAATTTTAGCCGGTTCGGAAACTTTTGACATTTCTACGAAGTATTCTTTCCCAGAATTTTCAAATACAACCACACCCCGTTCCAATTGTGTTCACCAGTTAGAAAAAGTATGTGAAATAGTATTAATTGATACATTGCCGTTTCAAATTTGATGTCAAAAATTTTGTGTCGAAAAAATATACCGGTAGTTAGATACGCACAACGAAGTTCAAGTGACAACATGCCTTGCCCTTGTTGGTCTGGCCCACTGCGCCATGTCGACTTTGTGAAAACATGGGTTGTGATATACCATTTTTCTTAGCTCGATGCCCACACTCCGATTGCAAATTTATAATTTATAAACCACACCCCCAGTGGTTGTGGTTTTCAGCAACTTCTCGGTTTTATAAAAAACATGGCTACGTGAGGAAATGCTTTCTCGAAAATATGGCAAAAGCGCTAAAAGCCACACCCACTGAGGGGTGTGGTTTTGGTAACATCGATACTATTTTTTAGTTGCCCTTATGTTTCTGGTCAAAACGATATGTCACACGACATGCTTTCTCGAAAAGATGGCAAAAGCGCAGAAATCCACACCCACCAGGGGGTGTGGTTTTCGTAACATCGATACTATTTTTTAGTTGCCCTTATGTTTCTGGTCAAAACGATATATCACACGACATGCTTTCTCGAAAAGATGGCAAAAGCGCAGAAATCCACACCCACCAGGGGGTGTGGTTTTCGTAACATCGATACTATTTTTTAGTTGCATTTATGTTTCTGGTCAAAACGATATGTCACACGACATGCTTTCTCGAAAAGATGGCAAAAGCACTGAAAGCCACACCCACCTCGGGGTGTGGTTTCGGTAATATCGATACGATTTTTAGCTTGCATTTATGTTTCTGGTCAAAACGATATGTCACACAACATGCTTTCTCTTAAAGATGGCAAAACCGCTGAAAGCCACACCCCCTGTGGGCGGGGATTCAAAATTTTAAGTTGGGGGTGTTTGTTGTGATATGAGATGACCATTGGGTTCGCCATTCCGCTACAATAAATTATTTGTGTCGCACAATG